CTTTTAGACTTTCTAGCGCCCCTAAATCTTTGTCTAAAGGCCTCTGCGCAAAGTCTATACTTTTTTAGAAGGCAAGCCTTGACCTTCTCATAGTTGTCTGCGTCCTCCTTGCTGAGTCGCGCAACAACCTCTGCTGCCTCGCAGGGCAGAACCGTGAGTAGCCTTTGGGACCAGGTGTCCTGCTCAAACGACATTTTCTCACACATCCGTTCGAAATTTGCCAGGTACAGACCAATATCCCCTGACACCACGTATGGCTGGATGTACTTAGACATCTTGAACTCGGCCTCCCTGTGGGGAAGAGCTATCATTTCCTGGGGACTGCTACCCGACCTCTTTCCCAACTCGAGTTCTAGTTTACGCATCTCGATTTCATGCGCTTGTCTTTTTGTTTCACGCTCTCTTTCGCGCTCACGCCTCTCTTCCTCCTCCTTCTGCTGTCTCTTTCTCTGACTGATGAGGTCCCATGCTTCACTGAGCTCCTCATCCTCAGCCCCCAAATCATTAATGACTTGTATGATTATGGGTTTCCGTGCCAAACCCTTTGTATTGATCCCCAATTCCTCACACAACAGCAACAAGTCCGGCTTCTGCAGCTCCCGCAAGTTCATGATCGTACTGAGTGCTCGCTACTTCCAAAATAACTTTCCGAAACGGCGAAACTGAGTCTTTCGGCAAAGTTAACTACCAGTTCTAAAATTTACCCTCTTTTAGAACCTGGTTCACTCAAAGGAAAAGCCAAGCACTCACCCATACGTGATCCATGTCTCGAGCCAACTGCTTCTCTTGGGCCGACTGTTGTTGTCACTTGTAGCTTCGAATCCCTCCGCTGCCAACCAGTTGTCGTGATCCCACCGCTGCCACCAGTTGTTGTGATCCCGGGGTGCTGTGGTAGCGTGGTGTAGCTTCGGGTTGAGGAAACGAGCGCTTACAAAATGGGGATGCGAAAAACAAACAAGGTTTATGCACTATCTACAAATATTTACAGCATAAGGTTAAGAGTTCACAAACCACGAGCGTGGTGGTTAAACCTTTTTGGTCCAGAGCCTTCACAAACTACGAACGTGGTGGTTGAACCTTTAGTTGGTTCAGAGCCTTCACAAACTACGAACGTGGTGGTTGAACCTTTAGTTGGTTCAGAGCGACGTCCTGCACTCTGCGGCGCCGTTATAAGCCCTGTCGGGCTCCTCCTTCTTCAGTCGAACACCAATCACATACACACAACAGGTGAGGGGTACGAGCAGGCACGGCGCACGTGAACAGCCAATTTCGAGTCAAGATCACTGCACTTAAAGGTGGCGCCAGAGGGGCTCTTGCTCGTCGTGTGTGTCACTGGTCGAGGGATCCCAAGCTTCGGACAGCAGAGATCAAACGGTCCGCCAACCTCTCTGCTCAATTAGCAGGGCATTTTGTGGCGGCGGTCGCCGTTTCTACAAAGGAAGACGCTGTCTTTGTTGTCCCCTCTGGAACGGCTTACCGCTTCGTGGCGACGTGACGTCTCATCCGCCGGCTAACAGTGACAATACCTGGCGGGCATAAGCATTCGGCGAGTCGGCTACTTGTTTGAGGGTCAAAAGAGCGCCGCTCCCCCGTCAGATCTCGACGCTGGTTCCAAGAAAACCTGGGTTCCAGGCGTGGGAACGCGGCCCGGCTACGCTTCTCAGCGACAGCATGGCGCCTACCGATGGCGGTCGTAACAATACCCAAACATGGTGCGTCCCAACCACGTGCTAGAACCAGAAAATTGTGATCTACTGCAACTCATGCGACATCCAAATAATCCAATTTTTTCAATGATAATGATACCGATGGCTTGCTTATACATGCATACGCAAACTTAGCAATGAATTTCGCTTCTATGATGCACCTTGTCATTTAGTTAGTGCTTCTTCCGATTATGCTGGTGCGATTAAAGAGGGGTTGGAACCCGCATTATTTACAGTGAATTGCAAGAAAACCCTCAGGCTGTGCCTTGGCCACGCTATTCTTGTGTTCGTTCAGCCTATCATTGATGCATCTACCGGTTTGGCCTATATAGCATGCATCACACGTTAATGGGATTCGGTAGATGACTCCTATGATGCACGCGACAAACCTAATACGGTGATTCTTTTTGCACAGACCTTTCTCTGGGCGCTCCGGTTTCGTCTTTCGGCAAAGACTGTTTAGCTTGATGGGTGCCGAGAAAACTACTCGCACGTTTTGTTGTTGACAGCTCATTTGTTGACAGCTCAACCGAAGAGTTTGAGGAAGTGTGTTCCAGCATCCAAGTCGCTGTTCAAAAGAGCCTTGAACCCCTCGAAGTGTCCTTTGAAATGCCGTGTGACAGTGTGATTCGGTTTTTAGATGTCTGATTTGTTTTCAATGATGATCAGACATGCTGGTATTACACCCCTTATGAAAATGAATTTTGAGAGTCTAATGTGCAGCTAATGCACACCTAATGAGTCATTATATTGACATTACACCTGCAAAGCCTAATGTCTCTTAGCACCAGGTGTGCTATGGAGACTCAGATGACAACATGCACCGGGATTTCTGATGATCAAAGTATACGCAGATTTTCCAGTGCGTGTCCTAATGTCAGAACACATCACAATGAAAAAAAAATTGCGTTAATCTCGTATAGCCAACAAAAACTCAATTTCTTACTACTAAATGTAATAATCGCGGGAATTCTAGATCCCAAAACCACTGTATGATTATGAAGAACGCCGTAGTGGAGTGCTTCAGAAATTTTGACGATTTGTGATTTCTTAGCGTGCACCTAAGTCTAATTCAATTACTTGCTGATCTCGACATTCACGTACATGTTGTCTTTCGGAAATCTAAAACACTAAACAGTTTGTATTCCCATAGATTTCCGATCATGTTTCAGTAAATATAACATTGACATGAAGAGAATGTGTTAATCAGCTACATAATAATAATAATAATAATAATAATAATAATAATAATAATAATAATAATAATAATAATAATAATAATAATAATAATAATAATAATATAATAATAATAATAATAATAATAATAATAATAATAATAATAATAAATAATAATAATAATAATAATATATAATAATAATATATAGTAATAATAATAATAATATATAATAATAATAATAATGATAATAATAATAATAATAATAATAATAATAAGAATACAGGGTCTCTTATGCATTCACGTATGACAACTCGAAGGCGATCGCCATCTCTTTCTTTTTTCCAATAAGCCGATGTGTTCATCCTGCCGCCCTTCAAAAACTTTCTGCAACTAATGTGGTTGCCTCCCCGGTTAAAGACGCCGTTTCGCGTAGCCAATCAGCCAGCCAGCCAGGATTGGGTGCGATGTAATATGACTTTGTCTTGTGACGCTATAATAACGTGTCATCTCGTGGTGATTATTTTTCGCGTGCATCTACTATTGCCTACATTGCAGGATGCGAGACGCTGCCAACGGTCAAATTTTACATTTAATGAGGCATCTAAGTTCTGATTTCATTATTAATCAATGATTTATTATTTACTTATTCATGTAGCGTGCCCAGAAACAATTATAAGGTGGTACAGGCGCATCTAAAACAAGAACAACAACAACAAAACAACTATTATTATTATTATTATTATTATTATTATTATTATTATTATTATTATTATTATTATTATTATTATTATTATTATTATTATTATTATTATTATTATTAATGATGAGATATTCGCGCCAGAAGCGCGATGTGGAGGCAAACTTTGCTGGGGCATTCAGGGGTGCTTTCCACCACCTTGCGCGCATAAATTTTGAATATGTATTTAAAACTAACAAGCATAGCGTCGATCACTTACACTAAAGTGGTACCCCAAACCGTTCCATAGACGTGCCAATTTGCCATTTGCATGAAGGGGGATGGTTACAATACCCGATCAGTGGACACCGATTATTGATTGATTTGTGGAGTTTAACGTCCCAAAACCACGTTATGATTATGAGAGACGCCGTAGTGGAGGGCTCCGGAAATTTCGAGCACCTGGGGTTCTTTAACCAAATCTGAGCACACGGGCCTACAACATTTCCGCCTCCATCGAAAATGCAGCCGCCGCAGCCGGGATTCCATCCCGCGACCTGCGGGTTAGCAGCCGAGTACCTTAGGCACTAGACGACCGAGGCGGGGCTCAGTGGACACCGAGGGCAACACAGGAGATAAACTCATCGTATCGTTGTAGTGAGCATTTGACAGCGTATTTAAATATCAGTCACACTTTTACAACAAAAATACGGCTGGGAGTGGCAGCTGCCAAATGTGTGCCCCTCTCCCCCCTCCCCGCCACCGGTAGGTTGTGAAGAGCGAAGGCGTGATGGAGAGGAAGAAAGTTTTAATGAGCATTCATGCCACTCAACGCTGTCACAACGCTAGCTGTCACGCAGAGACAGCGGCGTACTACGGTAAAAAAAAAGGAGGGTAAGGAATGGAATCCCTCGTTGATCTCGGGGAGGGGGGGGCCGCAGGCAAACAGTCATTTTGCTCTATGTATGCCACACCGAAAAAAAAAAAATCGCACGAAAGGCGCGGGGAGGGGGAGGGCAGAAAGGGGTAACGGACTTGGTGGGAAAGTCCCTGGCTACGCCACTGCGTAGAGACGTAAAGGAACGGACACCCGGTCAGATACCTTTCTTCTCTGTAGAGCAGAAATGCATGCCGCTCATTCTTTTCTGCACACGAACAAAGCCGCAGCTGCAAAAGCATCGCCTCTGAGATTTGTGCTTATTGGCCTTGTGTTGCAGAGACTCAGAGATAACTATCACCATGAGTTGGGAAACCTTTTTTTTATGCAAAACAAAATACATACAACTGCATAACTACATATATTGCAAACTAATAATTAGGAAGCTTTATTTGGCTTGACAAGCTATGAATACACTTGATTGTTTTTGTAAAATATTTGCATAGTGATACGTTAGTGCTGTTACCTGCACACCTATTTTTGTTAAGCCTGTAAATCAGCAGTTGCAACAGGCCTTGTTGTACTGTAGGCTCACCACCAGCTTCACGCAAGAACATGTGCTGGAAGTCCGCTGTTACAGAATTGCCGTGTTGGTAGATATTGCGTGCATTGTATACTTATCCGCCTTTAAAATTCGTCTACGGGATAGTTTCCGCGTGTCGGGAAGTTCTGCTGCTTTGATCGAGTGGCGGACGATGACTCGCCGTACGTGTCCGCTCCAAATAGCCACATCGGACGCGCGCCTTGTGTTCGCTCTGAAAAGTGATTTCTTCCTCCATTTATCGATTACTCGTGTTGTTCGCGCGATTCAATGTCGAGTGTACTTCCGAGGACAGTCCACGACCCCTGCTGTGACAACAAGTGACTGATGTTATGCGAGAACGTGAGCTTTTTGACGGGCGACTGAAGAGTGCTCAGCCAATGTCAAAACTTCGGTAAGTTGAAGAAATTCGCTGAACTACGTAACTGGGTTACTTCATTGTGTGACAAATGGTATGCAGGAAGTGGTGGCCCGGGCGGCTTGTTGGCACAGCGAGGATGACGAACCAGAGACCCGATAGGCAGGTATGTTTTAAGGTGGCTTATTTTATATCACCGTAAGAAACAGTCGCCGTGTGCGTTGATTGCATGATTAAAGATTCGCGTTGCGCTACGCGATCTATCCTTCGCTCATGCAAGCCTCTTGTCGTGCTGTTATTCCTTGGCTGTTTGCTGCACGAGATTATCCTTTGATCCCTTGTCGCCCTGTAAAAGTGTCTGCTTTTAAACATACGGGTGTCGCGAGAGCAGTTCACGTTCACCCAACTCGATAGTTTGTGCGTTTTTACGCGCAAAACAATCACACGACTGGGCACGTAGACAGAAAAACGCACAGCCCTGGGAAGCACACACGACGGATGTTTTCGTGGCTGCGCTCCGAATCCTTGTGCCAGAAATCTATGTAATTTCTCTGTGGTTAGAATTTCACCCTAGCTGCCTCATAAATATTTCAAGATAGCTAACTTGAAGTATACGTATTTCAGTAATCTGCACTATGTGCTGAAACTAAGAGTACACTTCTACCGCTGCATTGAAGATATGTTGATATTGAGTGTTAGTAGAATATATGAATTCAATTTAGTTAAGCTAATACATGACGCCCTTTGTTGCAATATCTGTGTGAACTTTTGTTAGCTATATAAATCTTTGTTTTCTACTTGAAGCGTACCAGGTGCTCCATCACAAATAACTTACACTGTACTCATGTAGTATAATTGTTGCTTGATTGTGTGGTGCTTCAAGTTGTATTTTTGTGCTTTCTTTTTTACATCAGTGTTGTACTGATATCGCCTACTTGCTTGTGTGACGAGGATGTATAACCTATGTGTAGCATTCAGGGATTTAGTATTTATTTTGTTTTGTGAGGCTGTAATTTAGAAGCAAAAAGATCTTATTTATATAAAAAGATCATATGTTTCCAGATGTTGACAGAAAGTTTCGCAACATTAATATTTTTGCAAAGGGCTTACGTAATAAAAGAAATGCTACAAATAGCTTGTGTGAACAAAAGTCAAACTACATGGGAATTTGCTTCAGAGTACCAACAGTTTGTTTCCTGAATAGCTTACATTTATGATGTAATACAGTATGTATGGCTCGCTCTTACACACACCATGTGTGCATAGACCATGCACTCTCTGCAAATATTGTTTTCATCATTTAGATCACTCATACACATGTGCATGCTCTGTGTAGTGTTTGTGAATGCAAAACATTCAGTGGCACTCTGTCAGTTGTCAGCAAGAAGCGGCTAGTCCAATATTGCCTGTTTTGATTGTGCCATGATCCCTTTATTCAAGGATTTACCTTTTAATGTGTCAGTATACACTTTGCTAAGACATTTTGGTACTCACTATCTGTGTGTGATATAACGTTTGTTGTGTGTGAAAGTCATCTTTTGTGGTATCTTTTATGTATGTATCAGCGATGACAGCTGTTCATGGTCCCGAAACAGAGGACAGGTTCCAGTGCACGATTGGAGCGGTCTTCCTGCAAGCCCTATTGAGCCTTATTAAGTGGTAGGCATTTCTTTTTGTTACCACAGAGTGATAGTTCAGATACATAGCACCTATTGAGGTATAGCATACACTGTCTTTTAGCTTAGGTGTGGGAAGCGTATGTCCTGCACTTAAATGCAGTATTTCTTAGACATGGAACATGCATCATTTGGTTTGTAATCCTTGAACATGGAATGTTGCCGGAGCCAACGTTGTGACTCTGGAGGCGTCTTGATAATGGGAACAGCGGTTTCTGGTCACTGCTCTCTTGACCAAGGCAAGAGTTCTTGTCAAAGGGTTGCACAAGGGAAAACATTCAGCATTGTTTGGTAAACATTAGGTAATATTTAGCTCAATATAACACAAGGATTAGACCAGTGCACTTTAAACAAAATGGGTTATTGTAACGGAAGCACAAAAATTTATGGCGTGATGCTCATCCTGTATTTTTTAGTGTTTCTGTTGCAATAAACCATTTTATATAAAGTTAGGGCACGTGTTGCGTCCTCTCTCATGGTCTTTGTGTTACATTGTGCTAAATATCACATAAGTTGGAAAGATGGCTACAAGGACATTTCCTGGTATACCCTTTGTTGGTCTTTTCTTCAAATTTCCTCCATCAACATCCATTTTGTTTGGACTGCTATGAAACTGTGTGCAGTGAAATCTTACTTATAATCATGTTTCGCTTATTGTCGTGACGATTGCTTTTATCTTAAAGGGATGGTGCCACCAAATTTGTGGCATGCGTTTTCTTTGCTTGTAAGCGTTTCCTTCGGCTCCAGGAAGCATGATACACGCACCAAGATTCGTGTATTTTCGCTAAATAATTTAATAGTGCTCTACTTATGGGGACCATTTTCGGTTTCGGTTTCGCGGCGCCAAGTTGGGCAGTGACGTCAATGCATGGGTGGCTTGGTCACGTGACCACACAAGGCTGTGACGTACATCGTGCTGAGTTCCGTCTGCTCTCACAGACGTGCCACACAAGCACCAGCAAAAGAAACGCACTGACAGTCGTCGTGGCCATCTGCAGTAGCATCCAGGCACTGGCAAGGCAAAAGGCAGCCAGAAAGAAACAAAGCGTTTATCTTTACAACGTTTGTACAGTAGGCTGAAGGAGGAGGGGACAGCCCTGCTGTTGGACGTGCGCAGCGTCTCTGACGGATGCCTTCGTTGTTGATAAAGGATGCGTAGAGTGTCTCTTCGTAAGCACCCAGTGTCCTCGAGCGACACGCACTGTCTATCTGCAAGGGATTCCAACACACTCGTAACACCAGCCTCGTTTCGGAGATGATGAAGGTCACTCACGTCCCTACAAAACTGGTGTGACGTCACAACAACTGCCGTTGCTTCTCCTATTCTGAAACGTCAGTGTTTCTGCGCAAGCGATGGGACTAGATCGCGAGAGTGAGCATTCAGGTACACTTTTAAAAGGTAATTAAAATATATTTTATGCGTTTGTTGTCTCCGACCCTTCGTGTGGAGAGTGCTTGCATACAGAGGAAACCCACAAAAGGCTTCGGGTAGCCTCGAAATTTGGTGGCACCACCCCTTTAAATTTTTCTAGTGGAATTAAAAGATTTCTTTAACAAAGTTCTTTTTTTTTACAAGTACAAGGGTCATTCATTTTTTGTGCTTTTTAGAAGGACAGTAAACAACATTCTAGTCTAAAAAAATTTAATGAATTTAAATAAGTACACTTTTGCTATGTATACATTCTGCCACAAGAATTTGGCGAATTCGTGTTTGAGGAAGTTACAGGGGTTGTTGTTTCTGCTCGTTTTCCAATTTTCACGTGTATGAGCAGATTTGTGGTATTTTTATAAGTTGTAGTGCAATATTGTTTTAAGTAACATCGTGCAACATGCAAGTACCTATTCCTTTCTAACAAAGCCTTCTCAGATTATCGTTATGCCTGAGAGTTTGATCATCTGAATTAAGGACAGCTTTTCTTGGGAGGCAGCACATACTCATGTTTCATCGCATTGTTTGGAATATGTTCCCACCACAATCTATGAAAATACCATGAATGTATGTATGTAACACAGCTCAAAAGACATGGAGGCCTATGATACAGAGAAGTGTAATCTGTGTGATAGTGCCTTGAATAGCCTTGTTGGACTGCAAAGTTAAATTGTTGAATAAATTCATGCTCTTACAAAAGTACAGTACTCACGGATTGAAACAGGACACTCGGAGCGTGTGGCCGAGGGTACATGTGCCGCCGCTCGTGGGTGCGCGTAGAACCAATGTGTTGCGTTTTGGTTTAGGGTGGTAGGGGGAACACCTATGGAGCAGGACTACTCCTTCCGATTGCCAAATTGTCGGCCTGTAGTTCACCATGTGTACACTGCCAGGGCAGCACTGCAAAGACTCGCGCACATTCGCATGTGGACCAAACTGGCTCGCCGCTGCGCACTACTTTTATTGCCACACCAGCCCACGACCCTCTCGTTCTGCGTGCTTAGGCAATGCGGTACGCATGCTGTGCAAGTAAGACGCAGGATTCAGTTAGTAGATTGCACCTTGTCTGCATTTGTAGACACTACAAACATCTGCACAAAAGCATGAAAAGTTTACTTCATGGTTTCTGTCTCGACAAGAAAGAAAATGTGTGGCATGCTTTCCTTCGTGCAACATGAAAATAATATGTATTAGTGTCGTTAGGGCACACTGTGGCTTATTATTGAATAAAAATGCGACAAGCTCGCTCGTTCTTCCGTGGCCAACAGCTCTACAAATGCTTGCCACGCAGAATAGCCGCACTATTCACTGCTCGCGTCGAGACAACAAAGTACTAAGTCATTGTTTTGATGCTGCACCGAAACAGACTTGTGGATGGTGCTTTTCTTTTTCGTCTTGACAAAAATCTTGAAAAACTTTTTATGCTTTTGTGTAGCTATTTATCATGTCAACGAGTGCATTTCAGGCGCGACATTTTAGCGGTATCCAATTTCTTACTTGCGAAGCCTAGGTGCCCCATCGTCAAAGGGCGCCGATCGAGAGCGTCGTCTGTTTGCGTTACAATATAAATGGTTCGCGCTGTCCCCATCGATTCGGGCTGCATGCATACAAAAGTGCGCTAGCCTTGCAGCGCCACGCTGGCAGTGTGCACTTTGTGAACTAAATGATTGCCGACTCTTTAGCGACCGGAAGGAGTAAGCCTGCTCCGTAGCTTTTTCCGCCCTCACTCTATACAACGGTGCAATGCCCTGGTTCCGCGAGCACACATTAGCGGCGGCACATGCATTGGCGGCCGCGCGCTACGAATGTCCTGTTTCGATCCGTGAGTACGGTACATATATGTTGACCATACTTGGCATGTTGGTACGTACTTGAGAGGAAACGGGAGTGCAAGCAAATACATGGACTGCTGCATCCATTATTCTTTCAGTGTCGGCGTCTTAGCTCATGATGCTGCTCACTCCTGAGCGTACATTTTATTTTCTCGCTGAGCTCGTACATACACTTTAAATTATATTATCTCTGTGACGCGTGGGTTGAGGCGATATTTTTGGCATCCGCATGATCTAAAATAGTCACGAGTTCAACACTGTGATGTGCTCTTTCCTTAAACACTTGATTAGTGGAAGTGTTTGGTCGGGTTGGTAATTTATCGCCTAGAAACTTTTCTAAGGTACATCAAAATATGAACAGAGAAAAGAAAGACGACACAAAGTAGTGCTAGTTCATGTTGCCGCCCTTTTAATTGTGCATGTTTTTCCTGCTGTTGAAATATTTCTTTAGAAAGAGTTCATATCCTTGTCTTATCAAGACGTTCAGCAAGTGCCAACACACCCCAGTATGGATTCTTGTGCTTGTTAATTTCATAATTTGCAATACTGGCTTGCGAACATGGGCAACTGTGCACTCTAAATCATGGAGCTAGGTAAAAATATTTCCTTTTTTGTAAAACTTTCGTCACCTCTTCAAGGTATCTAAATAATGTATTTTTAGCCATTGAATAATGTGAAAACATATTCAAGGGTACAAAAATGTTTTGCTTGCTTCCTCCAATCTGTTGTGTGTAGAAAGATGTGTAGAAACGACCTGTAACATGTTACAACATGCATATCTGTGTAATGCACTGTAGGTTACAAAAAGCACAATTTTTTATTTGTTTTCACTAGAGTTGTGTTGCTGTATCACCTAGACATAGCTCTACATTTCATGTGCCTGTTTGTTCCTCAATTTCACCTTGCACATTGGCATGTGCATAGGAGTGGGGAGCAGCCCCCCTCTCACCCAACTTGTTACCTAAGATGGGGGCTACAAAATTGGAAGCTCACTTAAGTAAGTAAGGGGGGGTGCTGTGGTGAACCTCCCCACCACCCGAGTGTAGAGAAACCCTGCGCATGCCTATGACTTTGCACCTCTGAGCATGAGCCCTCAATAGTTCTCTGTTAAAGAAGAGGGGTTTTAATGTGGAAGTTTTTGTGTAAAACAAAGTTGTGGAATAGACCCACTGTTGCATGCCGTAGTCATACATTGGGTGCCATTGGAATCGTGCAAGGAGGTTATTCTGCAATATTGCCTTAGAGAAGCTGATTGAGCTGATTCCTCTGTTCGTGATAGCTGGCTTGTCTCTAATTAGTGATGAATCGGCAGACCTCTCAACTGATGTATAGTGGTTAGTTTTTTTTGTGTGTTTTTTCAATGCAGCTTGAAGTCAAGGCTATGTGGTTCGACATTGAATCCAGATGCATTATTTAATATAACTGATTAATATATATCAATATTTAGAAAAGGCATAACTCATCAATCGCAATGTCTATTCATGTGCTGCACTAAAATGTATGCTTCAGTGCCTTCTAAGCTTTCATGTTCTCTCTTGCAGGTTTTAAATACAGCAGTGGTGCCACCACAATGGTGCTACAAGAGACCCTATCATCAGTGCAAAGTCCAAAATCAAATAGAAATGCAGTTATTCCTGGAAATGTCTCATTTGGTGTTTCTTTGTTTGTAATTATAAAACAGCACTTTTGCAAGAATTGTAAACAAGGACGAACTAGCTCCATTTATTGTCCTATCAGAACTGAATTGCTTGACAATGTAATGCGTGTTTCCAAATGCAGACATTATATACTTGCAGCATTATTTATCGGCCTCGAAAGATTGTGACATGTAAAAAACAACGATCTGTGCGTTGGCGGAAAGGGTCTGATGGTATTTCCTATACAATCCTGTAATGTGTGCACACTTTCATAATAATAATGAAGCGATTTATTGATCTGCTTTTCAGCAAATGTGCTGCTGATGACATAGGGCCTTAGTCTACAATGCGACGTTTGATGTCAACCTAATGCATATGCTCGATGGCACTTCACTAGACAACGGCCATCAGAAGTTCGGATGTCAGGACTCTATTGACTAGCACTAGCCAATGGTCACCAGCAACTCTAATGTCGGGCCTCTATAGACTTGTGCTAGACTATAGTCACCAGAAACTCGAATGTCATAACTCTATAGACTAATGGTTGCCAATTACTACTAGACTCACATTAGGTACACATTAGCAAAGTGCATTGGACTGACATTAGACAGTTTAATGATTGTGATGTCGAATGACATTAGCCTGTTTATAAAAGTACATTAAATTTTTTCATAAGTGACCCTCGTGCTAACAAACCTATACTTCCATATAACTTGGCACACTCCAAGCTCGTCAAGCGAGGGATTGTTACGATGTGCTTTACTAACAGCTTGAAGAAGTCCTGCCAGCATTGTTTGCCTTTAAGCAAACAAAACGTTTAGCTGACTCGGGGTACCCACAACACGTCCTGACTTCTGTCGCGGAAAGCCTTCTGGGGCAAATCCGTTACGACGGAGCCGCGGAAACGTGTGCTACGCCTGCAAGGAAAGGATTAGCTGTAATGCCATATATTCATGGTGTTTCACATAACCTGAAGAAATTAGCAGAACATTGCAACGTGCGAGTAGTTTTCTCGGCACCCATCAAGCTAAACAGTCTTTGCCGAAAGACGAAACCGGAGCGCCCAGAGAAAGGTCTGTGCGAAAAGAATCCCCGTGTTAGGTTTGTCACGTGCTTCACAGGAGTCATCTACCGGATCCCATTAACGTGTGATGCATGTTATATAGGCCAATCCGGTAGATGCATCAATGATAGGCTTGATGAACACAAGAATAACGTGGCCAATGCATAGCCTGAGGGTTTTAATGCAGGTGCCAACCCCTCTTTAATCGCACCAGCATAATCGGAAGAAGCACTAACCAAATGACAAGGCTCATCATAGAAGCGAAATTCATTGCTAAGTTTGGGTACGGATGTATAAGCAAGCCACCGGTATCATTATCATTGAAAGAATTGCATTATTTGGATGTTGCATGAGTTGCAGTAGATCACAATTTTCTGGTTCTAGCACGTGGTTGTGACGCGCCATGTTTGGGTATAAGTATTGCTGTTTCTCGGATTAAACCGGATTGTTGAAAGTTAGCGCCGTGTCTGTGTTCTGTGTCTTCTTCTCTGTCTCGTCCTGGATGCGCTATACCTTGAACTGCATGAGTAACTTGTAATTCACAAGTTGAAAGCGTCTTCTAGGAGCATAAATGAAAACGCTAGTAAATTGTCTAGCGTGCTTGCATATTATAACAACGCTTCCTAGAATTCGACAATAGTATACAGTGGGTGCAAAGTTCCATGCTGCCACAGACTTTCTCTTTTTGTGTGGGCAATCATTCTGTCACAAAAGTGTTATTTTTTTGTAGTTCTTTGTCTGGTTTTGTTCGCAGAGTGCAATTCTTTGCTATGTATACGCTTTGTACTGCGCCAATGAATCTGATGAATGCTATGTATCGCAGTATCTCCTTGGACAGAGGCCCGGTTTCTTATCTAACGGAAAAATTTGTTTGTGCCATGGTGATTTGCATTGCAGTGTTGTGTCCAGTACGCACTGATCGCTATAGTTGACATCTTCCAACCTCAACAGGCTGTTTTAGCGAATATGGCCAAGAAATGAAAAAAAAAAAACTATACATGAGCACTACAAGTCTCTAATCAGTGCAGTATGCTTCTGCTTCATATAGAGCATGTTATAATATTTTTTTCAGTCTGTAAAGCTTTGTAATTGCTTAATGAACATTGTAATAGTGACTCTGGAAAAAATTCTTTAATCCAAAATTTGTAGCGCCTAAACAGAAATAATAAAATTTTCATTCTGCGGTAGGACAACTCTACTGGTTAATTTTCGCAAGCCTTGTTTTAAAGGTCTCGAAATTGAAACATTATCACATCACTGCCACCTAATGCGCTGCGTTTTTAGTATCCTCAAATGTAGGTTCAAAGAATTATCACATACTCTTCACGAAAGAAGGTTGCTTCAACGGGCTATGGGTGACTTAGATGGACGTTAAGTGATGGCAGAATGGTACTGATATAAAAAAGAAAAAAAAAACATCGACGAAAAAGCGGCCGCCACGTGCAAATGTGATGAGTGACCGCTGGCAGAATTCAACACGGCGCCGGCCTTTTTTTTTTTTTTCAGCGATTAGCAAGTAGCGGAACATTGGTTGCGAACTTGAGGCAAACAAGCAATGCGCGCTTGATCTGTTCTTTAGCTGATGAACCATTATTGGGTTTGGCTCACAAACACTGTGCGAAGGGCAGTCTAGTGAGCATCGAACACTTGGCTTCTTTGTTCTCGTTCACTCTGTTGTATAGTGCTGATATGAGTACCTGTTCCGGGTAAGTCAGAAGTAAAGACGGGATGCATGTGGTCATGCTTGAACTTAGCCTCTTATATAGGAATCACTCTTTGAATGGCGTAAAGTGTCATTGCGGCAACGAAACTAGTGTGTCATCGGTTAATACTCCCAATTAAATTATGCTGATCAGGAGATCGCCGCATTGGAGCAGTGGTTATGGAGCTCGGCTTCTGACTTAGAGGCCCCAGGTTTGATCCCGGCTGGGGCAGTCACATTTCGATGAAGGCGAAATAGTACGGGGCCGTTAGCTGTGCAATGACACAGCACGTGTCCCAGGCCACTGTGGGTTAACTATAAATGAAATGGCCAATACCCTAGCCCGCTCATCGCTAGATCTCCCAATAGTTCAGGTGCTGCTCCCGGTGGTAGAATACTTCACCGCAATCAGGTTTAGAAGATGAGCTATCCACAAAGATAGGATGGAAGCAATAACCATGCGGACAGAATATAATAACCTAACATACCCATGGAACTCGCAGTGGAGCCATTCTCGACAATCAGAAGCAAGTATCACCAGATTTCGATGTCGTGTCCCCCCATCAAACTTTTACTGGTACAGAGATGGTGTGACGATATCACCCCTCTGCCAATTCTGCGGAGAACTAGAAAATATTACACATTACTTTTTGTCATGTTTAAGATACTGAAGTATTAGAACTCAACTTCTAGTTACTCCTTTTTTTAAAAATCGGCTTAACCGTATCAGAGGAAAAAGTTCTAAGCTTCGGAGCCTCACCCCCATATTCACAAACGCTCCTCGACTCGACTTTCATCCTTCACTTGACAGAGTTGAGCACTGCGCTGCTGCTCGGCTGAAAGTGACACTGCGCTACACGACGCCACCCTAAAGGCTAAAGCGATGGTATACAAATGACTATTCTTCCAGTACTGACCTACGCAAGTCGTCTATGAGAACCGTATACTGAAAGAAAGGCACTAAAATTTAAGTGTATACAAAAAACAAAGCCTTATGGCTCATTTTCAATGCCTATTTCGTAACTCAGTCTATCGGTGAGCTTAGTGACAAAGTCAGTATAATGATGGTGAAACGAAAAATGCAACTTAAACGACACCTAACAGCAAAAATTTTGTTCACGAGTTTTTTTTGCAATATTTTGTAATAATGCCAAAATAATAATATTTTGTAATATTTGGCTGCTAATTACAAAATAGAATCGTAAATACTGTAAAGCATTGTAGAATTAATGCTAACATTGTTGATTGAGAACAATTTTACATTGGTTCAGAACACCCACCTAAATACCATGGGAAACTAGCGCCCCGTAGCGGGGTAGCACTTGTGATCACATGCTGGATGTGCTGTTTTCAAATAGGGGGACCTACAGATGGTGAAGAATGAGATTAAGTGGGTGATTTGAGTGTGTACCTTTCTGAAGAAAGAAAAGCATGCCTGGTGTAAGCAGCCAAAACAACCTTGAAAGCAGCTAACAACAGCGCGAGAAAGGTGACGAACAATAGTCCCTGCCAGGTGCCAGTCGTGATATTGTGTGCTCCTCACAAATGTTCTTTAATGCCGACAATACTTCCTTCGCCTCTGCAACATCATGAGGAAGCCTCTGTCTACGTCAGACCTATTGGAAATGCCTATTGGACCTGAATACTCATATTAGCACCCACCCATACTGTAAAACCAAATTAAAATAAAGTGTCTTATAGGCAATGCTTGTCTCTAATAATTGGTCAGAATTTATAAGTGACCTATCACTAACACAAGCATCTTTAGTTTTCATATTTGGTGTCGGGGGTCCTTTAACAGAGTTATATTCTTTTTTGACTTTACAGGGTTAACCTGAGGGAGCACATCTTATTACAAAAGTTTACCACATCCAGAACAAAACACTCGAGACATATTACAACACTTAGCCACAGAACAGATTTATTTAAGCATTCTTTTGGGTTCAGAGTATCGATGAATCGAATAAATTATCCCAATGCATAGTCGTTGCAATTTACAAGGTCCTTAAAATGCTTTGTCACAATATTTGTTACCAAATTGCATTGCTCTTTCCCATATCTATCCTTCTATTGTTTTGTTGTAGGCTGCTTATTGCTTGAATATGTTCAATGTACTATATAACTTTTAATCTATTGGTTTTTGCGGTATGATCGAGATGTATTTGAATATGTTTTTTTTTCCCTTTTCTGTCAGTAAATCTCTTACAAAGAACTAATGCTGTTTGTGAAGATGGCACACAGTTTCTTCTCATGTCGAAATTCTTCAGTGGAGTGGCAATATTTCAGTGCGCAAGAAATTCTTTGTGAGCAGCATAAAGCAGTAGTCAGCTGTAGCACAAAAATTAGTGTACTCGGCAATGTACTCAGAAGGTATTGCTGCAGATGATGGTGTTGCGAACAAGGAGGTCAACATTGTTTGAAGGGCAAATATTAGATAGAAAGAAGCCTTGGAGAAAAAAAAGAATGAGCGATATGGCTTATCAGATAATGAAAGAAGGAAGAGAATTGTGCTCTTGTGAAAGAGCATGAATCATAAGAACAAAAACTGATGGAAGGCAATGTGCTCCATGGTCTCTGCTGCTGCAGCAACAGATTGAATTATTGAAACAGTAAAGCATTTGCTGGTACTTTTCTGTTTGTAGATGTATATTTATTGTATTTTATTATTGTATTTATTGTGAAGGATGCTTTCAGCCTATCAGCCCAGAGGATATTATAAATCCACATGGTTTGCAGTTTACGTGAGTGCTCCATTTTTTTTTTCTGTTTGAAGGTTTTTTTGCTGTGCTTACTGACACTGAAATCTACTTAGAATCATCCTGGAAAACCTGGAAAAGTCAAGAAATTTGGAAAAAATTATATTAGTGGTCACCCTTGTTTCTGCTTGTAGGTGTTTTGCGACAATTACAATTCATGTTAGACTGTTGTAGAACCTTTACTTGTGTCTCACATGTTTCAACTATAGTAACGGTTCTATTATGTGGCCATAACGAAAGCCAAGGCTATGTTTTAAGGAGCTTCGCCCCTAACAGGGGTGTGTCAATTTATATTCAGGACGGAGTTGGTTACAATGAAACGTGCTTGATTTGACTCGTGTCAACGTTTCTTTTCTCCCCAGGAATAGAATGAGGATACACGAAGGGAAATTTAAGTGCAAGCTAACGCCCTGCTAATCAGTCTAGTGGTTTGTCCTACATGGTGTATCTGTGAGTGCCATCCCTGAGGCCTTCAGTTTATCAGTTGCTTTCCCGCAGCATGAATTTGGCAAGTACTGTGCACAATAAGCTGCTGAGTGTTCTGCTGAATCTTCAGTGATCCAAGCTATATCTTGCTATATCTTTTGAGTACCGAGTACCTCATATCGTGTCCTCTGTGTGATGTGCTTTTTGTCTGCATCAACTTTGCTCCAAGTACTCGTACGAATTTATTCCTAAGTGCTCTCCATCAATGAGCCCAATGCTGCAGTGTGTTTGTGTGCATTGAGCCTGAGATATGGTGTGCATTTCTGGGTTCATATTGAATATGTAAACAGGGAAACTGTTCGAACCAGCCATAATCTGTCCTGCGAAAAAATGTCTGGCGAGTATGTATAACAGAAATTGCGCAATTACAGAGACCGAGTACACGAGGTGCATGCACTAAACGAAAATTAGCTCATTAATAAGAGAGAAAAAAGAGAAAAAGATGAGAAGAAAGAGAAAATATAGAGAAGCATTATGAAGAAAGAGAAAAGCAGAGAGAATTCAGTAAAGGAAATAATGAAATAAAAAGATACGCAGAGAGAGAAAGTGATGAAAACGGGTCCAAGATAGAGTAAACAAAACAGAGAAAGATCGAAAGAATGATAATCAAAAGAACAAATTAGAAGCTTAAAAAAGAAGGTAACAGAAATGCAGAGAAAGAATGATAAAAAAAAGAACAACTGAAACGTAGAATCGTGCAGGGCGGCAAATTATGTGATTTGCGCAGTGAACAGGTGTCTCAAAGGCCCACTCATTACAGAGCGCTTACACATGCCCACTCTTCACCAGCTGTAAAAGCATCAACAAAGTGAGCAGGTTCGCATGTTGCATTACGGACGCGTAGTGGGCCTTTCACTGATTCGCTCAAGGAGCAACTGTGGCGTATATAGCTCCAGACGAACACCTTTGATTGATATGTAGGGTTTAACGTCCCAAAACCACCATACGATTACAAGAGACGCCGTAGTGCAGGGCTCGGGAAATTTCGACCACCTGGGGTTTTTTGACGAGCACCCAAATCACGGGCCTACAACATTTCGCCTCCATTGAAAATGCAGCCGCCGCAGCCGGGATTCAATCCTGCGACTTGCGGGTCAGCAGCCGAGTACCTTAGCCATGCACTAGACCACCGCGGTGGGGCCGAACGCCTTTCCTAATCCATTATACTTAAAACATACACACCAAGACAAACGTCAGGATGACACGTACAAATTATGCCAGGAAGGGCCAGCAACATTCGAACAAATGTTGTGGGTGACATTAAAAATGGGGGGAGTTGCTCTGCATCCTCCTGTCGTCGAGGTGGGCCGCCGCTTTGCGCAGGCACGACCTTGGCATGCTAACGTGGGCAGTCCCGCAAGCCCGTGAGGCGGCGTTCAACCTAGGCCTTGACCTTCGTCGAGGGAACCCAGACCCGGGTCGCGTTAAACCTTGGCAGATGTTGAATAAAGTTCTATCCATCCATAGAGGCACTTGAGGCTTGCCGTAGACAGGACGGTTTGAAACTACCAATTTTACGCGCACAGTTGTTTGTTGGTACAATTGAGGAACGTACCGAGAAGGCAATGTGCACGGAGCCCGATTACGCTATCGCTTACTCTTGAACGCACAGCCCAAGCGTCCTGCAAGTTTTTCAACCGCTCCAAAGGGGCGGAATCACGGTGCTATCAATGGCCCACATGACTCTTATATGACATTTAGTTAGGCTTCTGATAATCAAGGTAATGATCTTACGTAACAATTAACGGGATTTATAGTTATGATGTTTGAAGTATAGGTCGACCCATGCTCACTTACCGCTGGCATTTCCTAACGGAATGACATATCCTAGGTGTACACGTCATTGATGATTCGATATCGTGCCCATAAATGACACGTCACTCGCCACTTTCGGACGAGATTTTAGCACTTTCATACCCCTTTCCTAATGGTTCTAGGGTGCTGAAAGTGTTCAAAGCCCGCCGACATTACTGACCGCCCTATATTAGGACCCCCGCTTATAAATTATGCGAGACTATAAGCCCTGCATGCTGTTTACGTGTGGCAAAGTTTATACGTATATAGCTTAAACCTCTCTATGTAACAATGCCCGCTTATAATATGCCCCTTTGATTAAAAAATGGAGCAGGGTTCTGTTGGCAGTCAAAATTAGAGTTTATCGGATAAAAAAAAATTACCGACGAGTGCTTCTCGAATCTATTCGAAAACACGGAGTTATTAGTCATGACGTACCTGGAACTCCGCACGCTCTTGGATTCGAGAAAGTTTTGCTGCAATCCATTGACGAGGATTACTTGGAAAAGTGCTTATGCAACAGTACTAACGCAACTTAAACAAAAAAAAAAAAGACATGTTTGTGCTTGGTTTCTGTTCAAGAAAAATTTTATTTACCACCAAGCCACGTCGTCATTTTGGCTTGGTAATGGTGTCAAAGAACGGAGTGAGCGATGCAAACACCTTGTCCGGGTCGTCTTCGGCCGAGACCTGCGAAGAAAGTCGGACTTAGCACGTCTACGCAAACGGGCGCACGGTGTAATTATAGGTACATCCTTGCGATCCATCTATTTTAAAATGTAAGATAGCTGCAGGTGTAGGCTTGTAATTAACTACATCTGGGATTTTACGTCCCGAAACTGCGATATGATTATAAGGGACACCGCAGTAGGGCGCCAGAAATTTGGAGCATCTGGTGTTTAAAGGGACCCTAAAGTCAAATAACAATTTACATCAGAGTGAAAGCTCAATGTATGACAACATCTAAAAGGACAATATTAAGAACAACGGTGCCCTACTTGCCGAGAAATTAAGGTAAATGCATAAGAACACAGCGGCGCCGCAGTAGGACATCTTCAAAATGATCCCGATGACACCAGACGGACTGCCTGCAATTAATCACTAGTAATCGATGTAACTGCACTAAATAAAGAACCTTTCGTGCATCAAGAGACACAATAAAATGCTGCTTGTTCGTTTCTGTTTGATGCATAGAAAAAAGAACCGCCGTGCGTTACTATGGGGATTGGTGCGAGTGGTTCAAAAATTCATTTTTCGCCTAGTTACACTGAATACGTGGTGCCATCTAGCGGAGCCCAGTTGAACCAAAAAAACGTCTGCAGTCTTGGAGCCAATGGCAGGAATTGATCAACGGCCGTTGTTGCTGCTGTGGCTCCCGCTGCTTTTGGTCTGCTGCTACTAGCGCAGTAAAGCCAGGCAACTGACGTTGTGCATGGCAACAGTGACGTGAGTCGGTCCGGTCGGTTTCGCTTCTTGAGGCGGATAATTTGAAGTGCGCTAACCCAATGTGAACGACTAAAATTTGATTTTATTTCAAAATAAGCCCTTCCTTGGCACAAAAGTAACACTACGATGTTTCTGGACCTCTATTTCAACAGTCAACGTCGACTTAATAGTTGCCATTAGTGTCCCTTTAACGCACGCTGACATCGCACGGTGCACGGGCCATTTTGCTTCCATCGAAATGCGACCACCGTGGCCGGTCTCGAACCCGCAACTTCCGGGTCAGCAGCCAAGCGCCCTAACCGCTGCACCATTGCGGCGAACCCAGACCGGGAACAGGGGCGTAGCCAGGGGGTGGCACACTGAACACGTGCCCCCCCCCCCCACTCCCCGAAAAAAAATTTGTGACTACGCGTCTGCTTGCAAACTCTGTTCTATAAACCAAGACAGCGTCTTCAATGACAATTAGAAGTACTTGCTCTTTCGAGCCCGTATAAACTATGCAAGAACTTCACTTGCATTGGGAGACCAATCAGAAAGTATACCGTGTAACTGTGAGCCAAAATAAAAGTGCCCTCGGGTGTGTATATGCGGAGTCTGGAGTGGACGGACTCGCATACATTGCTTACTTTTTACTTGATTTTCGCAAGGTTCAGTCGACGGACTTGGTCTTATAATATCGCAATGAGCGAACTCGCTGGTTTCACCGGTCCTCGAGACCATGATAAGAACTCGATTCAGCCGCATCCGCACTTGCCCGCAATATTTCATTTCATTGGTCCGGCTCTCGGGGATATACTTGTAGTTAGACCAATGACATGCAATGGTATCTGGAGAAACTTAAAGGCCGGTCATGTACTGATTGCTGCAACAATGCGCGTCACCGCCATCCATCCACAGCATGCTGAAAATGTGCACGAATGAACATACAGTCGTGTGCGTTCCTTCATATATTGCTTAATACCCTCTCGCGTTGTACTGACCGTTTGCTAATTCGTATAGGTCAATTGTAAGCGTTGAGAGTCAGCCGTAATATTTTTCGCAACACAAGAGGTTAGGAAAAAAAAACCCGAAGCAAGCGGCTCGAACACGCAAACGCGACTCTATTTACCTAACATGGTCAGTCGGCAGCTGCGTGCGTGCGCAGAACATGGAACCACACTGTAGTTGTTCGAAGCCGATAGCGTGCACTGACTTGCCCTTTTGAAACTCGCTAACATTGAGCTCTATACTGTGTCAATCATGGAGGAAGGAATACTGAGACAATGACTGAGGAGAGGTCGTTACGTCACGTTTTGAGAAGTCGAAAGTAGAGAAGACTCATCCTTGCAAGGTTAGTCACGCTTCGGTGGCTTGCGTGTGCGCAGCTGGCACCGGCGAGAGGGAGGCGAGCCGCGCCATCAGATGGCGGCGGCATCTGAGAGACGAGCTGGAGAAACGAGCATTTCGTGCTGATTAAGAGCCAACGTGTGGCGGTATTCTCTTGTAGAGTCCCCGTGCACCATCCGCAGCCATAGTGCCCATCTGCAATAAACTTGTGGCTTTGCACTTCTAGTTTAATCCCCTGAATCCAAGAAAGCAATGGCGCGAATTCGGCTGGATAATCGCCGCGGACAGGCCATTCTCTTCGGCAGATACGATATGTTCGGGGCACCGAACATAATGTAACCGTGAAATGTTATTTCATCTGGCTATTTAGCCAGATGAAGCGCCTTCGAATTAATATTTGCCCGTGTGTGTCGCGACACGTGCGCACGAGTGTCGCAGTCGACCGACCCGCAATAGCGTGGGTCGGAAAAAAAAAAAAAAAAAACCTTGTCCAAAGTTGAGGTTACTGCGCGCGGAACGTAAACATGATGCTATCATTCAAACAATAAATCGCCTTACTGTGTCAGACACGTCTGCAATTCTTGACTCGGCGAGTTCCGGTGAGCACAGTGTGGGCCAAGTACTGCTTTCCGATAGTTGTGACCGTCATAGACGGGAACGGCTCAGCGCTGCCTCTCACATTATGAGAGCCGTAGGCGCTGCCGTTCTCGTCTTGTAGTTCTGTAGCCTTCCATCGCCGAGGCACTCAATAGCACAGTGCCGAAGAAAAACAGCGATACTGCGGTGCCAACAATTCTCGGGGCAGTGCTCGCGAGCTTCGAAAACGACCGCTTTCAACTTCACGCGATATAAATTAAACTCGCAACCGCGAACACCAACGCTCACTCTATAGAGTTCTAACACATTGCATCATCTTTTAAGTGCAATGGATGCATAAAAATGCACATACGGAAGTCCAGCTGTCTCTAAACAGTATGCTCATATGAGTGGTGATGCAGGCGACACGAGACGACGGCGTGACCCAGGAGTCCCACAAAACCCTTTCAAAAGCACATGACTTACGCCGCATTTTTAGCTCTGCATCTCGGACTGCGAGGGCATCTCCTCAGCTGTCCTTCCTCCATTGTGTCCATGAAGCGGTATTTGTCGCATCCCACCTTGTTCGCGCTCTTTTGCATACCGATTTCGGCTGTCTGGTTCGCCCAGCAGTATGCGTCTTCATTCTGCATGTGCGAAATCTACACTCCCTAATAATCGGAGCTCGAACCTACTCTCTAGATTATATAGGGGACACGTGGCCATTTCCTCCATAGACGAACACACAAATGAACTTTTGTTCTCTTCCCTACAGAACATGACAAAATGTCCAACACTGTAAGTCTGTAAAGCAGTTTGCACCCTTAAGAGTGCTTTGTGGGTCTATAACATGTAGCCATATCGTTGGGTGTTAGTTTTATATGTAGACATGCAAAGCCCCATTATGAGTGTAGAATGGTTCACAGTGAGCGGGAATGACGAAAAGCAATTTTGAGCGGGGACAAACAACGTGTAATGGGTAGCATAAAACGCTGTAGATAGCCTGAGTTAGGTCAAGTCGTTTTATTTACTGTATGGCGCTAATAAAAGTTGTAAGGTAAGCAACTTCTAGGATTGATTGTTTTTCAGTAAATATACTTTAAAAGATAAATAAATAGTCTGTGTTACTTTTGCGCTAGGCTGCTGACCCAAAGGCCGCTGGTTTGATTCCGGCTGCGGTGGTCGCATTTTCGTGGAGGCGAAATGGTGGAGGTTCATGTGCTGTGTCAGGGCACCACATGGTCGAAATTTTGAGAGCCCTCCTCGGCGGCATCTCTCATATTCAGACCGTGGTTTTGTGACGTCACCCCATCATCATCATCATCATCATCATCATCATCATTATTATTATTATTATTATTATTATTATTATTATTATTATTATTATTATTATTATTATTATTATTATTAATATTATTATTATTATTTATATTATTATTATTATTATTATTATTATTATTATTATTATTATTATTATTATTATTATTATTATTATTATTATTATTATTATTATTATTATTATTATGTGCAGATTCTTCCCTTTTCAGTTTTTCAAGAAAAATTGGAAAACGCCCCCAATATGGAACCTATAAAGGGCGCTATGAAAGCCGCGCGCAGCACCACTTGTGGTGCGGCGGGGGCTGTGGTGGCCAAAGCGCTCGTGGCCGGCGCGTTGGTTCTTCAAGCAGCACTTGAAGATATTATACAGGGATACATTGTTCTGCAATGTCACGGTGAATAAATGGGAAAACCTGCACGAAAGCGGCCACGTTTTCCATGTCAGTGAGTGCCCGCCGTCAGTACTGGCGGGAAATGCGTGCGTCATGGTGTGCGCAATTCCAGATGCGTGCTTCACAACTGTCGCGGTAAGCTGTCAATTTTTCGCACTTATAATATTATCGGTGCGTGCCCACTACCTGCGCACTTGCAAAATACTGAAGAACGTTTAGAAATATCGATGGCTCCCCGATTATTCACCGTCGAAATCATGGTGAATGGACGGCGGCGTGCTCATTTGTAGCGATTAATTTGGTGCCACAGCGACTTTCAGCCTCCGAGTCTCGCGAATCGTTTTGCTTGAAATTGCCGCGGCGTCATCCTCGCTTGTTATGATGATGTTCTTTGCCTCACCAGGAGGCGCGGGCCAGTAAGAGAACGCACTACGATGAGAGGACACGGCAGCCCCGTTTCGCCTTTCACTCCACAAAGTGGCAATCATTTCGGCCACCGTGACGTCTCTCTCATTCACCGCAACCCCTTGCGTTATGTTGCTTTCCGAAACGCACGTTCATCGCTCCAGCATTGGCACAGCGTCGTTTTTCACCCTTATAGTTCTGCCATTCTTCCCCGTATACGTCAGTTCTTTCTAGCACGCAGATTGTTTACCAATCAAAGAAAAACACTTGTAGATGAACCACTCCAAATGATGGGACCCTTCTGGGGTTTCTTTTTTTTTTTTTAAGGCTACAACACTAGTGTTTAGCCAATGCAGCGTTTGCGATGGGTGGATTGGCCGCTCCCACGTAGAGACAGTCAGGCCAAGCCCGACCGCGGCATCGTGAGATCTGGACAAGCTGCAGTTGATCCCCGACATCGCGGCTCTTGATAGCGGATAGCCACTTTCTTCATTAGACTGGTTCGGGCCCCACAATGAGGTGAAACGCCAGAGCATGTGATATAGGCTATAGCGAATTTCAGTAAGGCGGTAAGTTGGACCAGTTGGTTTGGATCCATCGTGAACTTATTTGCAGCGCAACACCAGAAAACACAGACAGGGAAGGAGCAAAAGAGAAAGAACAGACGGCGCTGACACACAACTGTTGCTTATGTTGTGATGGACTGTTGTTTTGGTTGTTTATGTTTATGTTGTCGTGATGTAAGCTGCCAGCGCCTATATAGATACACTTCGCCCCGTTTTTTTCAATAAAGAACAGTTGTGAGTCAGCGCCGTCTGTTCTTTCTCTTTTGCTCCTTCCCTGTCTGTGTTTTCTGGTGTTACGCTGCAAATAAGTCCACGATGTATAGCGAATTTGTTGCAGTGCCTGCAAGAGCTATTAGGATAAATGTAGGGACAAATTTTGAGCAATAAAACCGGGCTGGGATGCGAACCCGTCTGCTGTAGCCTGAGAGTCAAAGCCTGCGCTCGATTTAACTTCTTGTAGTGGAAGTCTCTCCTGCCGAGATAAAAGTGGTGTGTAATTTCGTTTGCGATGACGCATGCGATTCACTACACTAGACGAAATGAATTGAATGCTAAGGTTATCTTTAAATAAAGCTTATTCTTCAACAACAAAATTGTTTTTTTTCGTATATTAAGATTACTTGTTTCGAAAATGATCTATTGCTAGGCATTTTGAGATTGCCAACAAACTTCTTTATATAACAATGGTACCACCAATTTCTTAGCCGATCCCCCGTGTGCATAGGTTGCGCCAGTTTAATAAAGGTAAACCGACCCATCGAAGTCTTACCTTGACGATACCTCATTTGCATAACGCTGCTGGGTGGTTAGTTGTGTTTACGGCAATATGCTATGTAAGTAGGTTCGCTCCTTATCTGATGGTCCAATCAACCAAGGAAAGCCCTAATTGACCTCGCATTGCATTCCCCAAGACTGCGAAGGGTAGACGGTGGGTCAATAATTATTAAGGTTCATTAAAGCATTCCATCAGCCTTGAGCTGAATTAAAATACCTTGCATAACTTTCTTTTCTCACAAGCTCTATGGCAGCAGGAACATCACGAAAGATCACTGCACCTGCAGAGGTGGTGTACCGGCAGAACCAGAAGTGGCAGAGGGAGCGGGAACCAAACACTTTTTACGCCGCACAACCGTGATCCACTAATTCGATGCCTAATGAAGAGTGTGACCGTTTGAGAAATGGTAAAAAAAAAAAAAAAACGTCGTTCCCGCAGGACACGATGTGCACCTTTTGGTGCAATCGACTACTGCAGCAGTTCATATTTCCAATAAACTGCGTGCTAGTGGGCGTTGGGACAGCGTTTTGTTCTGCTCGGGCTCTCGACAGCTGTCTGCTCTGACAACCGCGCAGAGTCACAGTGCTTGGAGTCACTGACATTTTACGATTATCGTCTTCTCTCTTTTTTCATTTCGCGTTGATTTCTTTTTGTCTGCGTGTTTACGCTCATTTTAGTTGATTTTGTCTGTGACTGTATTACATTTTTTATTTTGTTTTATTTTTGCGTGCTCCTGCACAAGAATCTTGTGGTTGTTCCTGGGCACGTTAACTAAATTATTGATTGATTAATTGATTGATTGAATGATTGATCATCATGTGCTACTGCTCTAAGAAAGCCCTGACTTGCCACAAATATTCCTCTCTTCAAAGGTACGCACTGAACTCCGTGTTCAAGAGGCGCGCCTCCCACGACTCCAAGAACAAAGTATGATGATCTCCTGAACAGTTGCGAATTGTGTATATATCTTATAAGAATTATATATCATGACAAGTCCACGGACTGATCAAATAAGAGAAAAAAGGCCCTTTTTTCTCATAGGGCGTATCACTTTCTTTTGAGGCTTACCTCAAAAGAATTGGCTATATGCATGATAACTGCGATGAATTACACATTTTGAATTAATTGGGATTCCAGCTAGTTCGCCTCCTCTCCCCTAACATGTCCGTGAACAGCAGGTGGCCTTACACGTATTTACGTGAACTGAATGCCATTACCTTGTGCACAATTCCCCTGTACTTATCGAGGACATGCTCGGACTCGACGTGGAAGGTCTTGATGCGCTTGACGATGGTCTCCTCGTTGTCGTCCGCGCGGCCGCTCGTCAACCCTCGCTTCAGAAGGCGAGCGTGCATCGTCTCGTCCTTCACCTCGAAGTAGATGAGGTTCGTGCTCTTGCACACCTGGCCGTTTCGTTCGGGAAACAGTGACGAGAGAATTTCCACATGAGAGATGGCATGTTTCAGTATAGCAAACATTCCTCTGCAAGTTCATGCAAACATTCCTTTGCAAACATTCGTCGGCGCTGCTGGCGGTGGTGCCAGCAGCGCCGCTTGGCGGTACAGAAGTTGAGCCGGCGCAAGCGTCTTCTGCGGTGAGAGGCGACAGCACGGTTCGTTTCCCGTACACACCTCGTGCTGAGTCGAACGTCGGCGACGCCGCATTCGTACTTTTATTGATCACTGCTTGTACACAATGATGTCAAGAAAATTATAAGGGATGTTATTAGTGTAGTAGTTGTAATGTAAATGTGAAAAAAAGATAACTTGCCGTAGGCAGGGACCGAACCTGCGACCTTTGAATAACGGGTTCGATGCTCTACCACCTGACCAACTGAGCTACCAGGGTGCACCCCCCCCCCCCCCCGGTTCACTTTATGGGGTATATATGTGCATTAAAACCTGGAAGCATTCATTAAAACCTGGGAGTCATTTAAACGTCGGTGGCCTGTAACTCAGTTGGTAGAGGGTCGAACGCGTTATTTTAAAGTCGCAGGTTCACACCTATTAACGGCAAGTCATCTTTCATGCATCTTTCTGTCTTCACATTTACAATTGCTGCTACTAACAAACCCTATACATTCCTCGACAGCATTTTCTGGCACTTCTCATTTATATTGTGCAGCCGTAAAATGAATTCACTAAAGAAGCTTGTTGACTTACGAATTCACCACCGCTTTTTTTTTTTTAGAATCCGTCTAGTACAAGCACCATTATACGCATTTCTCTCACACTGCAATTGCAATCTCTCGTCCAGTAGAAAGGACGGGAAGCTAAGCAGGAAAGGATGGCACGGGGATATAAAATACGTCAAGGGCGCCTCGTGACCTACAACAATTTATCTCTCTTTTCTTTTCTCTTCAGATACGCAACTTTTTAGTGCGATCGGGTGCGCACGCGTTGACAAGTCGCGCCCTCCCGCGGCGGCCCCACTAACGACCGAGCGCGCCATGCCGGAATCGGCCAATGGTTGATACAATGGCTTTGGCACGTGATTCTTGAGCTTGTTTCGTCATTTGTCGAGAGAAGAGAAAGCAATTTTTAGCTTGCTTTGAGAATTTATTGAGCTCAGGTCACGTGCTGCATGCGCTATAAAATTTGTTTCCCATGTTCTCGGGAGCCTCGACTACTGATCGGCAGTGTTTTCTGACTATGCCGGAAAAGTGTGTTACAGGGCTCCTTTAAACTCCCACTGATTTCCTAGTGCTTGTTATGTTCATATATCGCATTAGCATTTGATTGTGTTATTAAGCGTGCTTCTAGTAGCGTAGTTGATTCAGCTGGCGACACGGAGGAAGGAAAAAGGTAAGGAGAGGGCATACCCAGCAGGCGCAGGGCGTAAAAAGTGTGGCGGAAATGACATCAAGGCGGCCATATTCACTAGGTACAATGGCGGCGTTGCTATGGTTACGTGTTGCGCAGTGGAGCTGGTCTAGCAGTGAGCGGCCGCGGCTGGCGGCGGAATGTGTGCCTCCCCAGGTCTCGTGCTGAGCCGTGGCGGACAATATCTGTTCTCTGCGCCGCGTTATTGGTTACGCAGTGTTCTCCTTGCTGTTACATTACTCTTAGCAACGTTTACAAATCCCTTTGTCCATCACGGGGTTTCAACAGTGCGTAGAACAAGTGCATATCCATGTGTCGTGCGGCGGATGACGCGGATGAAGCAGTTAGTGTTCAGCGAAATTGCGTTGGGCACCATGACGAAGCTGAATGACGACGAACGCCTTGCAGGTTAGTGACGGTTCAGCAGTGCTCCTGCTTGTGACAACGGACGGCGCTGTTGAGCCCAGCAAGACGCCGTGAGGACCATGTGCACATACGTAGTTTCGTGTTGTGTGTGTACAGTAACAACTTGCATGTGCATATTAAAACACCTTTTCTGTTCCGCTTGGTACACTCTCCACCAGCATGGCATGTAATCTCAACGTAACAGCAACCACGTTCAACTGTCACTAGCACCGTGCTCAGTCACCATGGTCGCAGAATGCTGACGCCGGTGATTTTCACGCGGAACACGGACACAGTGGCAGGACGCTGCGTCGGCCGCGTGGCGGAATGCAACCGTAGAAGGCACACGACCAATCGTGTTGTCTGTACAGTTGCTGAATTTTTGACGTGAAAGCACTCGCCGTTGTCAGTGCATCTAGCGCGCGTTCTCTCGTAGTTGCTTCGTTGTTGGCGAGCTGTTACTCTCTGTTATTACTCGGACGAAGCGATTTCGCTGAAGGTGTCCCGCTGGCTCTGAGTGATGAGCCCAGTTCCATTAGTTTCGGATCGTCCCGACACACGCGCTGCGCAGCCCACGTGCTTTCCGAGCCGGAGAGGGAGTCGCGCCTTCTGCTTCGCATTCATATGTAAACAAGAGAGGAGAATTTGCCTAGTCAATATGGCCGACTTCCGGCTTCATCGCGGCTTCACAACGAGTGACGTCAGGGCCTCTCCTTACCTTTTCTTCTTCCGTGGCTGGCGAGCTCGTCGGGATGTGAAAGCTGTGAATAAATGCACATGTGTTGGTTGGCCGATGGCGTCTACCGCGTCCTTGTGTTCCGAGAGCACGGCTTGATTCAGACCCCACAATATCCATTTTTTAAACACGAAATTGTTTTATGCCGGGGTCTACCATGACTCCGTGACCTATTTCTGTCACTGATATGACGTTTTAAAATAATTACTAACAGACTGGAAAGAAAAAAAAAACCGAGAAGGAAGGCTGCGCAGCGTGGCTTTGAACTAAACTACAGAGCACTCCTCCTCAGATAAGTAACCATTTATATACACCAGAACACAGCGAGCCCAGTGCTTGCTGCCATATTGAAAAGCGCGAGGTGCCATCTGTTGCAAGCGCGGCGAAGCAACGACCTCAACTGCCACGCGAGCAGACGCTCTGCAAATCAAACGCGAAACTTGACAACCCGAGTGCGACTGTAATGATGTTTTGCGCTGTTCCTGTGCTGTAATTTGATGCGGATTTCGTGTGAAACGTCGAGGAGATTTTTCTCGCCAGTCCGGAATGTCTGCAGCACGTGCATTGCAGACTGCGGAAGCAACTTCATCAGGTACGTATTCGAAACTTTCACAGATAGTGGCATCACGATGCGGCATCCGTCGTAACTGTCGTTTGGGGGATGCCCACGCAGCCAGCCCATGCCCTTGTTCAGTCTGCCTCACTTTGGCGTTTCGCTGGTGCTTTACATTTTGCCACTGGCAATTTTCATGCAGGTGCAAATGCGCACATTTGATCTCACGCGTGTCCGATGGGAAGACTTCGATTGTGACACTCATAATGATTTTATTTAGAGCACCTATCAAATTCTCGTTATCACATCGAAATCAAATGCTAAATCTGAGAATTTTCAATCGCTCAACCCTACTTTCCATTCTCTGACTCGTGTGTTGCAAACAATCGTTCGACGATTCAGAGTACGGTGTGCTCTACTAAAGGAGAGCCTTACGCCATCCCGCTCCTTGCGCTAAGCGGGGAAGAGTTCGTTTAGAAATGGGGGTAACGTTTCAGAGTACTACGTACTCTACTATGGGAGTAGCTGAGAGCCGTCCCGCGGGTCTCGCACTTGAGGTCCTAACACCTAGAATGTGTTTAGTAAACGTGGTTAACGATTTAGAGTACTGGGTACTCTACTATGGGAGAGCTTAAAGCCGTCCCCAGCTGAAAAAGCAGAAGTTCGTGGTGTGGTACTGCTACATGATGAAAGCCGATAAACCTTTGCGTTTCCCGACGACTATTTGTACAGGACTACGTTACATGGTCTAGGTGCAAACTGAACAAACAACAAATTAACTCGCTTTAAAAACGGTCGAAGTGCTTGTTCAAATGAATACCAAGATTGTTTCTTTCTACAAAAAAGAATTGTTAATTAAAGTTAATAAAGCCGACGTCACTAAGGCAAATATGCTATCATATCCTCCTTCGTTTGAACGCATAAGTTTGGTGATCAAGGAGCGCGCTTTCAGGTGCGAATTCTCGCATTTTTCTGGAGAGGGTGCCACGTGGCGTGCCGCGAAAAGCAGATCGGCCTGTTGTCGTGTCGGGGTCATAGCAGCCGCATACGCTAAGCAGATATCAAGGCTTATCTGGCCCATTGACAGCAAGCAATGGCGCTTGTATATGAGTGAGTACGTACACAATGTGATGTCGTGTAGTGTGGTGGACATGTATCCTGGAAACATTGTAGCTAGCACAATATCTAGTCAGTTTACTATCTTAGTGGAATGGTCAAGCTTCAAGGTAATCTAGAGTAAGAGAGAGCCAGGCAATTTTCAGTCACAGAATTTATTTCTTTATCAAGAGCACTTGGCAGCAAAAACGTCGGCATGATTTTGTCTTGAGATGCGTAAAGCCGTGTTGGGTCGCGGTGTGTGTGTGTGTGTATCTCACTCGCACCATTAAGGAACGTTGATGTGACGCGCCTTCTGGACTATATGGCACAGACTAGAATGAACGCTGCACTCTACTCTATTCGGTAATATATCGGTGCCTTAGCACTTATATATTACCGAAAGAGTGTGTGTGTGTGTGTGTGTGTGTGTGTGTGTGTGTGTGTGTGTGTGTGTGTGTGTGTGTGTGTGTGTGTGTGTGTGTGGAGAGAGAAGGGGGAGAGGGGCTGGTGTGGTTTTTGCACGGTGTAAGTGCAGGTGGCGCTTGAGTGCGCACGAGGGCCGCTCTCACGTCTGCCAAGTATGTTTACTCATGGCGTATTCGGTTGGCCGCCCTGGTCCTGCAGATGCAGCTCAAAATCGGAGCGTAGGAGACAGCGCATACTAACCGATTACATCGGCAATCTCAGAGCGCCCAGAGTAGCTGAGAGCAGCTAGCGTTACTGTGTATGCTACCTAAAGGTAGCATACACTGTAACTCTAAGAGCAGCGTGCCTGTAGCGCCACCGTGCAGCCAGCGCGGGAAGCTGCCGGGTAAACAGTGCTGCGCCTGCGCCGCGTCAACAAATGGTGCTGATCAGTTCGGTGGATATCTCTGATATGTTTGACCTTTCCTATATTCTTTATTTCGCTCTCTCTGACATGTCTGGATGTAGCGAAAACATTCTGAGCTCAGCACATAAATCTCGCGATTGTACTCGTCCGAGCTGCTATCTTCAAGCAAATCACAGGGCTCTCTGCAAGCTGCTGTAACGGCAGCATTGACATTTCCCCCGCCTTCGCGAGCTGTCTCGTTAATCGATATGGTGTATTTATGGCTTCATAGATGTGAATTCGCCCCACATACCCTAAAAAACGCTCTAGCCACTCTCACGCCGCTACCAATCACTTGCACGAAGTACTACGTGCCCGGCAGCGCCTTTACAATTCCTCCCAACTCCAGCCAGTGACTGCAACGTCACGGCGAATCGCGGCGCGAACTAATACGAGCGCCCGAGTGCTAGGTGTTTTTTCTTGCGACCGCGCACGGCCTAGGCACGGAAATGCGCGAACATCCCTAATCGCCAGTGCTGCCAACTCTAGAAATATTTCTCTAACACCAGAACACAGCGAGCTCACTGCTTGCTGCCATATTGAAAAGCGTGTGGCGCCATCTGTTTCAAGCGCGGCGAAGCAACAACCTCAACTACGAAGTGAGCAGACGCTCTGAAAATCAAACGCGAAACTTCAGAACCCGAGTGCAGCTGTAATCATGTTTCGCGCTGTTCCTGTGCTGGAGCTGATTTCGTGTAAAACGTCGAGGAGACCTTTCTCGACAGTCCGGAATGTCTGCACACGTCCATAGCGGACTGCGGAAGCAACTTCATCAGGTACGTATTGGCAACTTTCACAGATGGTGGCGTCGCCATGCGGCATCCGTCGTAACTGTCGTTTGGGGGATGTCCACGCAGCCAGCCCATGCCATCGGTCAGTCGGCCTCACTTTGGTGGTTCACTGGTGCTTTATATTTTGTCGCTGGTAATTTCTATCACGGTTATTCTGAATTCGGTAGTGAACTACCGAAGTCGGACAGGCACTGCGAGTCGTAGTAGCAATGATTTACTATTTATTGTTTGCTGGCTGATCTAGAAGAATCGCGAAATGAGTTGGATGCCGTTGTGCAGACGCCGTGCATTCAAAGGCGAGCTTTCCTGCTTTGTACGAGGATGGCCGTTCGATCTTCCCGGCCGTGGCACGAGCAGCGTTCACAAAGCTGTGCGTGCATTACTTCAAACTGCAGCCGACGATGTTCCTGGCGTTCAACACTACTTTTCCTTCAATATACACCGCACACGCGTCTCTCAACGCGCAGTGTGGGATATAATACAGTCAATGACTTTCTCAGCAAAGCCTTGACATCACGGTGGCTGCAGCCGAAAATACTACGCAGCTCGAATGGATGGGCACACCAGAGGCTGCGGCTGGTGCGCCGTCTACATGGTCCCCCAAACAACAGCCATGTTCGGCTTGCACTAGCGGCCTCCCTAGGCGGTGAAAGTTGCGAATTATCCGACTGAAAGAAACGCGAACAGCGTTAACTGCGGCGTGCCTTGGCTTTGACAAGGCAGAATTTGTGCTGTAAGCCGGCGTGAACGTAGCGCTAGTATCTGGCTCCAACTTATGCTCATGCACCGCATGTGTATCAATTGCCAGTCCTGCCAGGCACTCGGAACACACACGCGGTGCAAAAGTGCCAGCCAGAACAATATTTTAAAAGGCTACGGTGACGCCGGCCGAAAGCACATATAGAGATTCGCCTAGTGACAGTCAAGGTATGACGCAGTTCGACCGAGTCCAAAGCCATGCTTACCGCGCCGTTCACATCTCTTTTCATCGCGATAGGAGGCCGTTATAGTTGTACTAAACATCCGCGGAGCGTGCATCTACGCGTGAGTCGTAATACGTATATCCTATTATTGACATGCGGCCTGCGAAAGAGTACGGCAATAGTTTTGTGCCGCATACTACAGGCATACTGCATGCAAATCGTTGCTGTAAAGTGGAACAGCTGGAGTCGCGCTTGAATAAACGCAATAAGGATACCTTCTCGTACACTTCACAGGACTCGTAGTTTTCCCTGCTGATTGTGATTATATCCTATTGGGCGGCCGAGCTCAGCGTTTTTCTTTAAGGACGGAAATATGTTCAATCGCAAAGTACCGCACCGGCACGATCCCCGCGATGCGCTGTGAACTTCACTGGCGGTGCTCAGCAATCTCTTCTTCTTGCGCTGGTTGTTGTCACATCAGGTGACAGCGCAGTGGTACCCGGATGACATTTTATAAGGGGGTGCAGCATGAAGAGGTGCTCTTTCGCATTTTAAACTCCCAGAGCCACTGCATGCCATCATTGCCATGCTAGCCCTCGAGGCGCGCCTTGGCAGCTGCCAACAAATTATGGCGTCTCTGGGAGCGAGAGTATACCGCCGAATGCGCCTGGGTTCGAGGTAGGCGTGCTCTCGTCTACATACTATGTACTGCTGGTGGTGCTTAGAGCTCGGCACTTCAGCGCGTTTGCGTTATCAATAGCCAGATGGCATGACGAGCACGTGGTGTGCGCGCGCGCTCTTAAGGCCGTTGTGCCGCGCCAGACCGCGCGTCGATGTGCTCGCGTGCATCCACATGGCGTAATCTAAGAGCGTATAGATGTTATGTAGCGTAGTGGCTCCCTCGCGTGCGATAATCTCGTGATTAGGGCGTTCTGTACCTCTTGTTCTTCCACAGAAAGTTTGCTTTGATGTTACAGTCATTAAATAGAGCAAGAACATCACTTCGCTCACTGCCACGGCCGCGTTTACAAAAAGAGCACGCTGCTCACATACGAGGAAGCAAGAATTTTCACTTTTGTTCGCGCTCGTCCAGGCGTATACTTGTGCGTTCGTTTCGTATGTCTTTTTTTTCTGTTTGAGCAGCGTTTTTTAAGTGTCGAGCTGTGACGGCTGTTTGTCTGCGTTCGTCCAGTGTATGCTCCTTTAGTGCGTGCTCTCTGCTTGAGGTGTGCCCTGCAAGTTTCGAGCTGCTAGCCTTTCTTCGAGTATCGTTGCAATTTGTTGCTGTAGCGTTCATTCTTTCGCCCTTGTGGCGAATAAATGCACAGTGAACGCTCAACTACCTCTGCAAGGATACGTTTCACTTTGGTGTTATACCGATGCCTTAAAAAGGGGACCAACAACGTTTTTTTTAAACCTCAGTATTTTTTTTCCTCATTACACATTACGCTTATACTGCGCAAGAGGTGTTCTTGAAAAAAAAAATATTTATCTGATAATGGCTAATTCGCAACTTTGCAAGTTTTTAAGAAGATCCATTGATGACCATCATAAGTGTCTTAATTCCCTCAGCAATACGTCTTATTCAATTCTAACATGTGGCGTAAAGCAGCTATTGCAAAAGTTAATTAGTAAGGCTTTATTCATCACTTAATGAGATGCTATGATACCCAGTACCACCAGCATTGTTGCAGCGAGAAAGATTGTGTTATGTGCGCCTTTAAAAAACGCCAGTGATTTCGATACTATAGCTAATGAGAATTCCTAAAGCAGCTGTTTAGAAGCTTTGACTTTGTGATATGGCAAGGGAAACAATTTGAGACAGATATGTATGCATGTACACTTGCATATCGGAATTTATTTTTGACAACTACCTCTCTCCAGGGAACACACGTCTGCCAGCCGTTTATTCCAATGAATGAAGCTTTGTATTCGGAGATGAGTGAATATGTGTTCGGATTTCTCACCAATTCCTGCAGGTTCTCAAAGACGAGGTCTATGCAAGTGTTTTCCGAGGCCGTCACATCACTGTAATAAGTTACAATGGAGGCTAACAGTATGTACTTGCGCATAAGTGGTAGGAAGGTCTTGTTCGTTTTAATGTCTATATTAAAGTCACCCACAACATACGTTGTTGGCGTGAGTCAGTGTGTGGTTAGTGCGAGGCGCAGGAGGTGCACGACGTCTTTGGTAAGCGCGATGAGCGTAAAGGACACAGCCATTACCAGCGAGTCATTGCCCAAGTTCGCGGCACACAGTTCACCAAGTTCGTCTGAAGTAGCAAATATTTTGATGCACAAAAACACATGCGTAAATAGATAGCCAATCCCACCACTCTTTTGTGGTCAGCCTGGTCAGTTGTGGGAGTGAGTGTCCACTGGAAGTAGTGGGAGGGCCACATATACGAAAGTGGGAGACGAATTCCCTAAGATAATTATTTTAGCTAATGACGATGCGGAAAATATTGTCAGCGAAGTGAGCTGACAAAGTGAAAACAAACTTATGACAAAAAAGCTTTGTAAATTCGGGCTCAGGACCACAAAATAAACATGTCATGGCCGCAGCATGCAGTTGCAGCGAATGCGAGTTACCACGTTATAGCATCATCATTTTGCCAAAGCATGCGTTAGCTTCTGCAATCGAAGAAAACGCCGAGAAGCAAATAATGTCCAACTCAACAATAACTGAGACAATCTATAAAGTACATACTATGCAATCGAGTGGCTTATTGGAGTAGGCCGAAAAAGTCAGGTATTTTAGCGTGCTTACTTCAGCCTCGAAACGGTCTCCCTGCTCGACGTTCCTGGGGTAACCGTCGATGAGAAATCCTTTAGCCTTATCCAGGTGCTTCTTAATTGCTTCTTTGAGCAGCTGTAGCAAAATGTCCTACGGAACAAAAAACATGGTCTTGTTCATGTTAAACGAATTTGAATTGTCACTTTTTTTTTAATTTCCAGGGGTACGAGTTGTTTTAACAGAATGCAATAAAAACTAACCTTTCTGCTGGCCAATGCCGTACCGTGGAATACGGGATACTGTATGCCATTTGATCAGTGCCGTTGCGCTTTGCGCCACCGACTCTTTTCACGCGTGTGGAGGGCCCTGATGTATTTCGGAATGGCCAATCAAAGAGGAACAACCAACGAGGAATACTAATCCATATGCACTGTTGTGGTACAGGCCAACTAATTATGAGAAGTCTGCAGATATGCAGCTCGTGGGTTCGGTCTTGTTCGCGGCGAGCACAACTTCGTTGGAGGCGAAAATATTTTGAAGGCATGTGTGCTGCGTGATGGACCAGCAGCGTACGTTAAAGAAATGCAAAAGATATACTTTTCTGAAGACCTCTATTACGGCATGCCTTATAATTCTATCGTGATTTTGTCACGCAAAAACCAGGGATGTCCATGCATGATAGTTTATTTCTTTATTTTGGTGAATTCGATTTTCGCTCACAACTGTTGGAAACGCTCAGACGAGACCACCGCAATTGTTGGGAAACTTGGCGAATATGGGAGATCATTCCCTTGGGATCACGCGCAGGACGCGAACGATGCAGAGATGTTGGACGACATGATGTATAGATGCAAAAAACGACGATTTCACATCTATGTGATCAGGTTTCTTGAACACCGACGACTGCTCTCGCCGATATATCGGTTCACAGCGCTAATACCTTGTGACTTGACTGTTAACTTTTTGGTTAAAAGTTTGCCCAAAGAGTTCCGTATATCCGTCAGCCTTGCTGCAGTGTTCTACACCGTCACAACCGAATGACATTATTATTGAAACACGAGAATTACACTTTTAATGGTCGCTCCTGATATGAGAGATTATCTTCTGCCGTTAGAAAGACGGTATATAAAGGGTCATTGCCGAAGTGAAGGCTATCGAATTCATTGCTGCGTGAGTGTTTGTCATTTTCTTTTCCTTCTTCTTAAATCGCAGCGAGCCATCTTACGTCACGCAATAAACGAATAAAACCACACAGGAATTAGCGCATACTTATTTCCTTATAAACTACAAACGGAGTAAAATAGTAAGGCTTGCTCGCTAAATAAAATGCTTCATTACTATTGCAATAAGGTGCCACACCTCCCCCCCCCCCCCTACCGCAAATAATTAGGAAGGCAGCGAGCAAATATTCTCTTTTTTTAACGTTTGATGATTTTCGGACACGTTTCTCGAAACACGTGTTATACTTAAATTAACGGAAGGTTCACAAAAAAAAAAAAACGGACTGCAGCATCGCTTACACCGCTGGTGATTTACTTTTTATATCGTGTTGCCGTACTTCTTTGGAATGCTCGAAATGTGTTAAGTAAGCAGGGGCGAGAGCATTGCAATATGCGTACCAGCGGGACGAGCTCTCCTTTCTTCATGATTTCGTTCATCTCTTCGCCCCGATCGCTGCCGGACTGCGCCTCCGCTCTCAGCAGATCCCCGGGGCAGATGTGCGTGAATCCGTACTTCTGCACGATCTTCTCACACTGCGTACCTTTGCCGGAACCGGGGCCACCTGGATGGAAAAAGAGCAGAAAAAGTAATAATAAATAACTAGAAGAAAGATTGAAGGCGACGTTATAATCCTTGGCATGCATACATGTATCTGTCAGTATAGCACCATGCATCGCTCGTCGGTGTTCGTGTGCACTTGCATATTTCTTTGGTTAACAGCCTGCGGTACATGATCCTCCCTCGACCCCTTCATCCAAGTGGTGATAAAAAATGTGTGATAACATAGAAGTGTGGCAGCTTGGGCTAGTCGGTATGGCATGACGATAGTTATAGCGCGAGAACTTGTTGTCTCTGTGTCGTCCTTTTTTTCTCGCGCTATAACTATCGTCGTGTGATAACAAATGGGAATTATCCATCAGCCACTCCTTTATTCACAGTTTTGCTTGCCTGAGCTCGTTCATTGCACATAAATCTGGGGTTCCAGCTCACTACGTGGGCGAGGACAGAAGGGGAGACGACACACCGCAGGGTCAGTTACTATATATAGTTCAGCGGTATGTCGTCTTTCCTTCTGTCTTCACCCGAGAAGTTGGCTGGAACCCCCTCGCAATTCCTTCGTTATACTCTTCAAAACATGACTATAGGTTTGCGTACCCTATAGAGGACTTCACAGGCTGTCTGTGAGATTGTCTATCTAAACAGGCTACGATTCAACTCGGGGAACTGTATGGAAGCAGGTCTTATGGCTCTGGACTTGGTGCCTCTTTCGCTGTAATATTCCAGCAAATTTAAAACAATATCCTTGCCATGTGTCACTGCGCATACCTATATATGCACCGGCTCATAACGCACGCATAAGCGGTGTGTGACAGTCAATTCAGTCGGCTCAGTTTGCCAGCTGGAGTGTTCCTATGCCAAGTTAAACACCATAGAATGGCCAAAGTTTGCGGAGCCGTCCACTATGGTGCCTCTCATAATCATATCGCTGTTTTGGGACGTATAACCCAAAATTTTATGTATAATAATTCCTTCACCAAGCTGTTACGAGCAAGTCAGATATGTGCAATCCTGATGATATAAACCCAGAAATTAATACTGCGAGGCGTCTGCTGTATCTGCTTGCAAACATAAGCAAACGACGAAAGCTAAAATGACCAGAAAAAACATTCATGCACCTATATACTCCAGTTTGTTATTGTTGTTGTCGTTGTCGTCGTCGTCGTCGTTGTTGTTGTAGTAGTAGCAGTTGTTGTTGTTTTTGTTGTCACCATTGTCATTGTCATTAATTGTGTGACTACTGCGGCGTTACATTAAAAGCAACCCGTTCAAGCCGCAGCTACACAACGTTTCGGCCGATATTATGCGACCCCGCAGTGTTGGGGTATAAAGGAGTTTACTAGTTGTCTCACAGACTGTCTTTCTCTTTCAAAAGAAGGAATGCTTAATAACTTCGAAGCTTTGACATGTGTACAGCCCCGCCGCGGCGGTCTAGTGGCTAAGGTACTCGGCTGCTGACCCGCAGGTCGCGGGATCAAATCCCGGCTGTGGCGGCTGCATTTCCGGTGGAGGCGGAAATGTTGTAGGCCCGTGTACTCAGATTTGGGTGCACGTTAAAAAAACCCAGGTGGTCGAAATTTCCGCAGCCCTCCACTACGGTGTCTCTCATAATCATGTAGTGGTTTTGGGACGTTCAACCTCACAAATCAATCAATTGACATGTGTACACTGTCATACATTAAACTTCGCACGAAATCTGGTAGTCATTTGAAGCCGTGAGCAATTGTTGACTGATCATGATAGGCTAAAGGCAGGCCGAAGATTTCATTTTCTCCGCACATGTTTAATGATTGCCTCCGGTAACACGTATACGTACAGTTATTGGACAAATGACGAGTGTTTATTAAGAAGTTCTGATGCACCGAATAAGTGCTTTAGATCATTTTTCTATCCCTCATACATGTACACTCACACATACTTGCGCCCCCCCCCCCCCCATTCTTATGTAAACGAATGCCGTGTCTGGTGTATATAGTAAGAATCAGTATACTCTTTCTGCTCCATCTCGACAGAGAACATCTGCGCCACTCAACCAACCCTTGCCGAGGGCCAACTGTGTATGTCGAGTAGATTAGGTTATCTTATATGCATTACTGCACGATGATGAGATGAACACGTCAAGGGAAGCAAGGAAAATAAGTATACAGAAGACAGCTCTGGTGCTCGTCAGACAACACTGCGACGCGTGGCAGGTCAGCGGAGAATAAATAGAAATATTATTCGCGTTTTAATGGTAAACTATCCTTCTGCAATTAAAGAAAGCCAATTCTCTCAAGAAAAGAAGCTTGTTGAACTATAGAAAAGGCGGGATGAAAATGGCGGGTGTTCTATATATACTTGCAGTGATCATTTCTCCGTGACGTCACGTAGCTCGACGGCATCTTCACCGGCCCATTGTTAATTTTCTGAAGCAATAATGCAAGCTAACCAAGTTAGAAAAAAATTCACCTTTTAGCCCCTTTGTTTGTCTCGCGCAAAATCGCCAAAAGATCAATGATCTTCCTCCAAAAGTAGAACTATATATACTCTGCATTCGAAAAGAGGCACTAGAATCTCAACTTGGCGAATTTTAGGATCGTTTGCTGAGCCGGAGCATTAAATCAATGGCGTTAAATCATTTAAATCTTCTATTATCAATTTAATGTAGAGAAATAAGCAAAGTACAAAAAATCAGCCGCAATGCAGATTTATCAACCCGCACCGCTTGCTGCACTGTCCATGCATTAATAATCAGTCATTGTGAAATGCACGAATGCAACGTTACTAAGTTATCAGTGGACACAGATTTATCATTTATTTTTTAACGTCTACACAACTTTCAAACTCGCGACGAATGGTAAAGGACCACCGGCGGCGACAGCTGAGAGCCGCGGTACAGATTTACAGGCAGTTTTGGCCCATGCGGGCGGTGCATGCATGCAATGGGCGGCTCATGCAAGAGGCTTACGGCACGCTAGTATGGTATATTACTATGAAAGACGTATGCGACAAGTTCATGCCGTATCTATATTGCACCTATGGTTCAACATGCGGATGAATTAAGCGATACGCGTATACGTTGTGTGAATATACTCATCACGCGATACGAAATGTGGAAATTCACATCGTCTTCTGGCTGGTGCATGCATGAGTTAGCACCCCTGCTCAAGTATAGTTAGGGCAGTGTTGAAGTGAGGCCTTACCGAATACGAATATGACAGGCACCTTGACGTCAAGTGGCTCTACTGGATCGCCCCGCTGAAAGTGTGGGAATAACAGAAGTTGCACTGCGCCGAAGGATAACAATTGCGCGCACGAGGAAAAATATCAACATACTCTGGGAGACAGGTTAGGGGAACAAGCACGTGTAATTTTCCTTTAGAAAGCCCTGTGTAAATGAAGTTCGAGCTTACAGTGCCGTTTTGGCTTCAATTCCACCTTTAGAGGGCTTTTAAACGTGAAGTATATTTCTGTTCGCGTATCTCTTACAAGAGCGTCATTAATCGCTCAGCTACAAATTAGTAAGGAGACGGACGCAAAACCTCTACGTTCCTTTAGCCACCTACAATCAGAAATGTTGTATAATAATGAACAAAACTTTGTTAATCACATGAGTCATTGTACAAGCTACTCGTGCATCTAGATGGGCTCGAATGGTTACGATATTTTCATGATGACTTACATAGGTCTAACGTTCAATATTTGGTTAATCGAGAAAAACGTGCGTTGCATTATCTGGCTGTTCGCAGTGCAGCATGAAGACGCGAGCAATGCGTGACGTCTATGCCGCAGTCGGTGTATGCGTACAAGTCACCTAAGCTGTTTACCCTACCGTGGGAATTCCGCGGTAGCCCACCTCGAAGGACGCAGCCCAGACTGCAATTGGTGATGTGTCTTTTCGAGCGGGAACTGCGTGGTATAAGAGTATTCGCGCGAACGCTTGGTTCTGAATTGGGGAGGGCCGGAACATATTAATGGTCTGGTTAGATCGTAGATTTCTGTAATGTTACTAGTTAATGGCGCCTTCGCACTTGTAGCGCAGATCAAAACGCATCCACGCGACTCACCTTGGCGTTGCCGGTGCGCTTTTCATCCTTCTGATGGTGGTTGTTGTCGTCCTTCTTCTCCATGTCAGACAGCTTGATGAACTGCTTAGAGCAGATCAGCCGGCACAAGTGTGCCGGCTGCTGACGGTCCTGCCTCCTCAGCTCGGACTTTGATTCGCGCTCGCTCTAAGAGTAGGAGATATGGACTCTTCGGGACGAGCTGGCAAAGGCGATTGTGCCGATGGCTTCGACCCAAGCAGCCCGCTATATGTTGATAATGATGATGCTCGTTGGATGCGAAACTGAGTCACTCTAAATAATTCATACAAAATTGCTGGTTTGAGCAATTACAACATAACAATTTTTTTACCACGAAAGTGTTATATGCGGGGGTCCACCACGGCTTCGCGGATGTATTTCCTTCATGAAGATGACGCTGCGAAATATACACTAACAGGTTTCAAGAAAAAAAGTACTGTCACTGGGAGTCGAACCTTCGACGTCTTGCTGTGCAGTGCGTGGCATGGTTCTCTGAGCCAGGTACTGGTTTTCTTTTTTAATGGCAAGCGAGATAGTGCGATGAGTGTGAGGATGCGCTTTCAAGATCGTCGGTCCACGCGTTGGGATGCGTGCGCGCTTATCACGTAATCGCGGCTATACTGTACGTCTTGTGCTGGCGCTGAAGTTCCCAAGATCTCGAACGTCACTTCGCTCGTTGCAGGATGTCGAAACACGTGGGCCTTCAGAAGCAAAGTAACCGTGCAAGTTGTTAGTTTGGGCTCGACCGTGTACTTAGATTTAGTGGCCGAAATTTACGGAGCCCTCCCCTGTGGCGTCTCATAATCATACTATTAAAAAACTATTTCACGCCGAAGAGAGACAGCGAGGAAGACGACGTGATTCAGGAATGCGGGGCGATCTCTCTGGCCATCTCGGCTTTTGCTTGGAAGTGTGGCAGCTTGGGCTAGTTGGTATGGCATGACGATGGTTATAGCGCGAGAACAAAACGACGACACAGAGACAAGGACGACACGGAGGACACGAGCGCTCGTGACTTTCGTGTCCTTCTTGTCTCTGTGTCGTCGTTTTGTTCTCGCGCTATAACTATCGTCGTTTTGCTTGGAGTCGTGAAAATATATCACAACTATCGCCTCGTTTCCCTGTGTGCTCTCCCGTAACATCCGCGAATCACGCCGTCTTTCTCGCTGTCTCTCTTGCCTCTTCAGCGTGAAATAGTTTTGTAACAATATCACGGTTATGAGACATTAAACCTCAGATATTATTCACAGTTTGTGCTCGTCCTATGCGTACTCGTGCACTCGTTTCGTGTGTCCTTCATTGTGTTTGTGAAACGTCGTGTGTATCTTATTTTCACGCGGTCTTTCTGCGTGAGAAGCAAAAGTGGAAGTTTCGAGCTGTACGCCATTCTTCGCGTTACATTACAACTTGTTGCTATGGCATTCATTTCTTTGCCCTTGTGGTGAAACAACGCACAATAAAACGCTCAACAACCTTTGTGAAGGCCTGTTTCACTTTTGGGTTTACCGATTCCTATGACAGTACGATCAGCCACGTTATTCTCTTAATCTCTGGTCTCAAACACATCCCTGTTGTGACTGTCGAAGTGTGCGTGGTGAACGATGACACATGCGTGCGCGTTATCACTCGTTTCTTCTTTCTTCCTTGCTTTTTTTCCCTCGCCTTTTCCTTCCCCCCGTGCAGGAGAGCAAACCAGGTACAACCATGGTTAACCCCCCTGCCTTTCCTTTGCCTCTCTTTCTCTGAATCTTCAGGCACGGACCTTTCACGGCTACGATATTTGATAGTCTGTTCATTTTTGCTTTAACTTGTTTATGGCCTTAGCGAAAAATCACAAAATTCTGCACATGTTAAGTGTTCTGTTTAAAAAAAAAACGCGGATTTTTTTCGCGGGTATTATGCTAACGTTGTGCGCTTTTTAGTTTCCCATAAAAAATAATCGATGTACTGCAAGAGTCAATAAAGCTGAAATGTTTCGAGCACATTGTGACAAAGTGGGAGAAATTGCATTTTTATCCATATTTCCGCTTTATTTTCGCAGTGTGTCGGTTCAAGCAAAAATACAAGTAAAAATATAGCTTATACAACGTTATGTAGCATGTTTTGTTAGTCTGACATATAGAGAGCTTCAAAATAAGTAACTTTTTTAAAATTTCAAGCGAGAAAAAAAATTCAACTGAGCCACGTCCAGGTTGTAAGAACTTGCTATTCACTTCGCTTTCACTGCATATCATATGAGTGAAGGATTCTCATGGGGGGCATTTTCGTGGTGAATAATGCAATTCATACAACGGCTTGCCACTTACTCCAGTAATACTAATGTATACGTCAAAAAATACAATAGTGCTAAAATTGTGCAACAGTGTCTTCCCCCATGGACCACCAAAGGGGAGGTAATATTCAACCGCTTCATAGTCCAAAGAAACAGAATTATGTTGTTATCGATGGCCAGCAGGACTGTTCCATGGCGAATAGCATTTGGCTTCTGATAATCAAGGTACATGGCCTTACGTAATGATTTAAGACATTTATAGCTTAAGCTGTTTTCATGTTGTTTCGAGTGTAGGTCAACGCGTGCTCACTTACCACTGGTTTTTCCTGATGAAAGGACGTATCCTAGGTGCACACGTCCTAATAGGAGCTTACGGAATAAAAATTCCCAAGCATTTCCCCAAGGGTGAACATGGTTAAGTGCGAATGCGCGGGGTGATGCTATGAGGGGTATTTATTAATTCGCACTATTATATTTATTAATCACACTATGGTGTCTTTATGGTGTAATGGTTCCTGGGAATCGCAATTTGATCACACGGGGTAGTTTACGTTAACTCACTGGCGAATGCCAACGGATTTTAACTTTACTCCCCCTCATAGCATGCGAGCCCCGGACGAGCAAAGTACAGGGCTCGCGCTCTCTCCCGCGCGGCACGTTCACTGGATCGAACGGCTTCGGGCACGTCCACTCCCCGTTGACGATTGCGAGCGGCGTCTTGACGCCGGCCTTCATCGCCCTTCTCCGCCTGACGCTTGCGTTGTCGTTCCGCTTCTTGGGCCGCGTTCGCGGCTCGATGCTGACGCCTCATCTCGGCTTCGCGAGCGCGCAGTTTGGCGTCCGCTGCACGCTTCGCCCGCTTACGTTCGGTCTCACGAGCCCTTCGCAGCGCCGCCTTGTCTTCCAACGTCGGCGAAACCACCGCGGTACCGTCACCTCCAACGACGGGTGCAGTGCTGGCATTCGGTTGTACTACATTCGTCGTTGATGGTAGCGTTGCCTCCGGGACATCCATCGCACGACCCGCTCTCGACGGGAGACTGAGAGAGAAGGCGGGCGCACGAGAGAGAGGGGTGCGCGCGCAGCTGCAGCGAGCGAGGAGAGCGGAGGAGCGAGCGAAGGGGGAGGGGGTATAAGGCGCGTTACTGACACCGATATCAGCGTCGCGTCCGTGGCTTATTCGGTAGAGCGTCACGCTGCGGCCCGCCAAGTCCTCTTTCTTTTAAAGATAGAGAGAAGACTGCGGACGCCACCGACGGCGGTGGATGGTTTGGGGTCGCTTATAAAGTATATTCACACTTAAAAAAAACATTTCCGGCGAGTGGCTACCGGATGTCATCCGTATTTATCCGAAAACGCGGAGCCCAAGTCATGACGCACTCGTCTCGATTTTAGCAGAGCACTGAGGTACGAGAAGGAAAAGAAGGTGCACAACACGGGCGCCGAACACCTTTCCTAGTCCTCGTCGCTCGTTGCGCTACTGAAATCAATACGAATTCGCACCAAATCGCTCAATCTTCAATTATTGACGCACAACTTCTTCCCTCCCGGTGCTGCAGTGTGTCGCTTCCAGCGCACTCGTCGCGACGAGACAAGGTGGTTAAGGTAAACTGCTCGTTCATGGATTTCAGATGTGGCAATCGATCCGTGAGGATCACTTGGAAAAGTGGTTTAGGACTCCTTTACTGCTAAACCAACTAGAAGGGGAAAAAAGAAAGACATGTCTGTACTTTCTTTCAGCAAAATAAAAGATTTATAAACTACCAGCCGCGTCATCATTTCGGCTTGGTAATGCTGTCAAAGAACGGAGTGATTGATGCAAACACCTTGTCCGGGTCTTCTTCGGCCGAGAACTGCGAAATAAAAACAAGAAAGATTGACTTTGGACGACTGCGTAAACTGGCCTAGTGTAATTATAGTTACATTATACTCCGACATCTCCCTTCAAGTTCGGGACAGCCCAAAAAGTAAGCTTGTGAACCTTGTTCCAATGAATCAAAAGCAGTGCCCATCCTTAAGGCCCATGTAAGCTGCGCATTACACGGAAACTCCATTTGCCTTTAGAGGTCCCAATGTGAACACTGAGCCTTCAGGGGACGTGCTTGCACACACTGTGCGCTTTAGCTTTTTACCGAATTATCGCTATAGGTTCTGTCGACGGACTTTGTGCTGTAGCTTTGCAATGAGCAAAATATGAACTTGATATTTTCACCGGTCAGCCACCTCGAGACTATAACAAAGCCTCGGTTCAGATACTCGCCCGCTATATTTTGTTTGTTTGGTCGAACTGTCATATTTGGCACTAGACTAAAATTTATATGAGAAATTTCAAATACTCCCACGAAATAATTGTCATAAGTGGGACTAGTTCAGTTAATTGGTCACACGTTTGTGAATGAAAAAAAGAACGTGAAAGGATACGTGCATAGCACCAACGAAGACGCACAGTCCTGTGTGTTCCTCCATATTGCTCTATATCCTCTGGCCCTGTTTTGCCCATTTACTAACTAATCTTATAGGTGAACTGTAATGGTTGAGTCTGCCATAGTATTTTTTGCAAAACAAGAATTTACGAACAACCAACGCACGCCGCTATACGCAAACGGGACTTTGAAGTATATAGCCAAGACATTCAGTCAGCTGCTCCGCGCGTGCGCAGAACATGGAACCGTGCTGCAGTTGCGCGACACCAATAGCGTCCACTGACTTGGGAACGTCCTCTTTGAAACTCGCTAATATCGAGTTCTAGATTATTTGTCCTAAAGGGGCGTTTGTAGCCCCACACCTGCTTGCATTCTTTTGAATGCAGATTTCGGTTGTCTAGTTCGCTCAGCAGTATGCATCCCCATTCTTCATGCGCGAAATCTACACTCCCTAAAAATCGGAGCTTGAACATACCCTATAGATTATAAAGGCGACACATGGCCATTTCTTTTAAACGTGAACACACCTCGCAAGTTTTGTCGTCTTCACTATACAGGCAAAATGACCAAAGGGAAACAAGAAAAGCATTTTCAGTGGAGGCAAACTGCGTGTAATGGGAAGCATATGACGCCAACTACAGTTTATTTTGTTGACAAGTTAGTTAAGTTAATAAAAGTTGCAAGCGAAGCCACCTGTAGGATCGATTGTTTTTAAAGAAACAGACTACAAGACAAAAAAAAAAAAACAGGTGACACTGTACTTGGCAGGTCCCGACTTCGACACGTATATTACTCTCTTTGAAAATAAACGTTAACTCTCCTATATAGCAAGTGTCGTGCCTCTAACGTCTTTCCGAAGAGAGTATGACGACCTAAACAGAGTTGGCATCTGCAAGTCAGGACTCATTAAAAAAAAGAGTATAAATACACTTACTATAGCGCGCAATTTTGTAGCCCAGTAACTAACCAATCGCCCGGTTTAAGCGAATTGTAATTCTAGTTATTCCACACCTCTTCGCTTAGCATGTCGCGAACATCAGGCGGCTATGCACGAATTGTTAAGTGAACGCAGTTACCTTGTGCACCATGTCCTTGTACTTATCGAGGACAGGCTCAGACTCGACGTGGAAGGTCTTGATGCGCTTGACGATGGTCTCCTCGTTGTCGTCCACGCGGCCGCTCGTCAACCCTCGCTTCAGAAGGCGAGCATGCATGGTCTCGTCCTTCACCTCGAAGTAGATGAGGTTCGTGCACTTGCACACCTGAGCGTCGATTTCGGCTTAAGTGATGGCATGCTTAAGTGATGGCATGCACTAGAAGAATAAGAATGTGGTGGAGCACATTTGGCAAGCACTCTCAAATAATGACAGGTAGATTGCCACTTTCCCTCAAGAGGAAGGTATATAACAGCTGTATCTTGCCGGTACTTAGCTACGGAGCAGAAACCTGGAGACTTACAAAGAAGGTTCAGCTTAAGTTGAGGATGACGCAGCGAGAAAAATGGTAGGTGTAACCTTAAGAGCAGAGTGGATTAGGGAACAAACGGGGGTTAAGGATATCATAGCTGAAATCAAGAAGAAGTGGACATGGGCCGGGCATGTAGCGTGTAGACAGGATAACCGCTGGTCATTAAGGGTAACTGACTGGATTCCCAGAGAAGGCAAGCGGGTTAGGGGGAGACAGAAGGTTAGGTGGGCAGATGAGATTAAGAAGTTTGTGGGTATAAATTGGCAGCATGCAGCAAGCACAGGACCGGGTTAAGTGGCGGAACATGGGAGAGGCCTTTGTCCTGCAGTGGACGTTGTCAGGCTGATGATGATGATGATGATGGCATGCTTGAATGAAACAAACATTCCCCTGAAACTTAGTGCTGAGCCAGGCTCGCAGTATACAGTCGTCAGCAAGCTTAACACGAACGCCCCGAGGCGTGACCTATAGACTGACGTGATCGTTGCCAGCCGCGAAGCGCTTGACGCTGTTAGCGAGGTAATACCTCGGTGTGCTTGGATAGTACGTCGGAACGCACAAGGTACATCTAAGAAGGAGAAACTAAAGCCACGCGGCGCTATCAAACTGTTTCAGGACACGTGGCAGAGCGTCTGTGCGTACCGGTCTGCTTCGAAATGGGTGAAGTTAAGGAAAACGTTCTTGTCTTCGCCGATGTCGACGGGGGAAGTCAGTGTGTCATTATTTCTGGTATAACAATATTAACTCTAAAACTGACATAATTCGCACACAAAAAACAGTGTAAAATGTAGAACTTCTGTTGTACCAGCTTGGCCAAGCAACCACTTTAGCTACTTAATAACTGAACGTCATTATGTTGAATTCAGTAAATTACTACATATTTACAAATCCAAGAAATGTACAGTACTTACGGATTCAAACGCGACAGCAAACTTTTTATTGCGATAGCAATTATATGGACACTCTCGGCTGGATTTCACCGCCAGCGTCAGCGTCGGCGTCATGCACCGTATATGTATACGTATCTATATTGTCACAGGTAATGGGTATGAGCCATCAACTGTAGGCGGAATCCCTTTGAAGTGAAGAAAGAAGAGGGCTTTTTGACAGTTCGTTTGGACGCGGCTTCACCCCCAGGAGCCGCGGTTTCTAGTTTCCCCTGTGGGGACTCGGTGACCGGCCTCTGAAAGGAGCAAAAGATGACGAGGGAATGCTAGGTGACGTGGGGCGGCGAGGTGATGGTGATCTTGAAATGGGGCGTTGACCAAGGCGAGGAGCTTGCTGGCCCGTGAGGTACGCTTCAATGTCGCGGGGACGCTCACCGTAACGCGGGCACCGAGCATCAGGGTGAAAGCCACGGAGACCAAGTTGGCGGTACTGGCAGTTACGGTAGACGTGACCCGCTTCGCCACAGTGGTAGCAGAGTGGTCGGTTATCGGACGTACGCCACACGCTGGCCTTTGTGGCGTTCTGCCGCGATCCAGACGAACGATAAGTTGGTGCACTCGGAAACCTTGAGGCGGGTGGTGGAGTCGAAGAGGTGCCCTGGAATCGATGGCTAGCCTGATCCATTCTCTCCATGGTGGGATCAGGGCCATGTGGTGCAGGAGATCGCAGAGCCGCCGCATAAGTCAGTACAGGGGCCTCAGGCCTTGTTGGCGCGAGTGGGGTGACCACCTGTCGGATCTCATTTCGGATTAAGTCTGTGAAAGCACTTACGGGTGGTTGGGGTCCCGCTGCTTGGAGTTGGCGCAGCTCGTCCCGCACGATGCTTCTTATGAACTCAGCGAGGGCATGCCTCTCGCTGTCAGCCCCGATAAAGCATGCAGCAGGGGTCACGTCGTGGCGTTCATACTGTGACGACCTATACTGGAGAGTACGCTCCATTGTGGTTGCCTCATTTATGAACTCTGCCACAGTCGTCGGTGGATTGCGCACGAGTCCGGCGAAGAGCTGCTCTTTTACCCCACGCATTAAATGCCGCACCTTCTTTTCCTCGGACATTGCAGGGTCAGCACGCTTGAAGAGTCGCAGCACGTCCTCGACAAACATCGGAACTCTCTCGTTGGGTCGTTGGTTCCGAGACGAGATAGCCTGCTCTGCTCTTTCTTTCCTTTCAGTGCTGCGGTACGCATCACGAAACTGTCGGCTGAACTCATGCCAAGTCGCAAAGGAACCCTCGTGATTCTCGTACCACGTTTTGGCAGAGTCTTCTAATGCAAAGTAAACTCTCCGCAGCTTGCGAGCTTCATCCCATTCGTTGATGTTGGCAACTCGATTGAAGTGGTTAAGCCAGTCGTCAACATCTTCATAAATATCTCCATGAAATGAGCGTGGTGTTTGCGGCGCATGAAAAACATGCGGGAGAAAAGAATAGGCATCGTTGGTTTGACTCGCCTGGTTGTTAGTAGAAGTTGCCATCTCGTCTTGAGAGAGGGGACCGTACTCGGGAGATAGTCCTCGCAGGCGGCGACTGCTTCTTGCCGTGGGAGCTGTAGCTGTCTCCAAGTAGCTTAGTGTGTCAGCTGAAAATCTGCAGCCAAGGCGCATTTACCCAGCACCTCCACCAGTGCCGCGAACGTAATAACAGACAGCGACGAAACGACGTCTTGCTTGCCCTCAGACCAGGACGCAAAAAGCCCTCTTCTTTCTTCACTTCAAAGGGATTCCGCCTACAGTTGATGGCTCATACCCATTACCTGTGACAATATATATGAAAATGCAAGAAGAAAAATCCAGATAAAAGACTCCAGTGCGCGGAATTGAACGTGACACCTCCACGCTGTAAATGCGAGGCGTTAACCACTGAACCATCGAGGGGTACCTCCTTGGACGTTTAAACGGCAAGCCATTTATATCTACCTCTTACCTCTGTTGGCGGGCATATCG